GTTCAGTGGAATATTACTATCCAAATGTGGAAAATTAACAATGTCATGAGGCAGATACATGTGTCTCATGGTGTCGGAAAAGGTTGCAGGACATTTATGATAAGATCAGTGGACAGTAATGTTCTTGTGATAGCCTTATCCTGCGCCTCTGAGCTACAGATTGAGCATGTGTGCTGCCAATATTCCACGCCCATACTGAAACTGATACCACATCTGGCCTTTACCATCATAGCAAGGTGACAGTTTTCAAGCAATGGAACTTATGTAATGATCTAACAGGTGTCCTTTTGACTCTAGCAGATCGCCCATCAACCGTGACAACAGAAGTTATGGGCACAATAGTCTAGATGCGAGTAGAAATAATCTTGATTTACATCATTAAAAATTCACAATTCAGTCAAACTGATATCATATTTGGAATCTACATGTAAAATCACACCTAAAAATGTGGTTTTGAAAAGAGTTTATCAACTTTGAAAATTTAATTTTCTTTGAAAATGTGACTTCTAGGTCGGGGAGATTCCCCATAGACCCCATGTTGTAAAACCACAAAAAGTGAAATATCTTTTCTTGTGTTGGGCAGATAATATTTTCTTTCACTGGACATATTTTAATTTGTATAACTATCACATACATAAGGGTAATGTGAAAAGTGAACCACTAAAACTGATGAATATTCAAGTTTAAGGGAATTTTGTAATACCCTGCCATGTTATTTCCCCCGAATCAGACACCTGGTGGCGAAACTGGTAACTACCTACTCGCATCTGAGTAATTGAGAGGTTCATTATCCTAGTTTACCAGCCTACAAACAGTGAGACAAATCTCAATACCATGTGTAGGCACATGTTCACTCATGACAGATTGTTCCCGATAGAGTACCTCCAACATGCGATGCAGCACCCTTATCATGTCATGCGAGCAGCTCTCCAAGGAGCACATGTATGGGGGCATTGGTATATAGTGGATCCAGTTCTTCCTTCACCAAATCTATGGGGATGGTTTAGGAGCGCATCAGGATTGTGCGTACCCAGATGGACAATACTGTTGCAAGCATCCAAGGCATTTTAGTCATAATTAAATGTGGATGCACCAAATGTGACTGCAAAGGGAACTGCAAATGCCATGGTGCATTCTACTGCACCGAAACTATGCAACTGCAAAGGAAATTGTAGCAATTATCCCAAATAAAGTATTATCTTAGGGGTATCAATGCTGAAAATGTAAAAAGGATAAATACGATGAATATTTTGTGTTTACTTTATCTCAGAACTGAAACATGAATTGCAGGACTTTTGCAATTTGATAAACATAAGACAAGAAATGTCCCATCATGCTTTACACAAGAGACTACAGATTTTTTTAAGTGTGCAGAAACAAAGCTTTATAAATTAAAAGACATACATATAAATTTTCTTCAAGTAAATAATAGTGGATATATAGTAAGATTTTTATGAGAAACATTGCTATTTTAAGTTGTTGCTAGGTCATTGCTAGGCAAATTTAACCATTATTTCAAGCCGTTGCTTGGAAGTTGCTAGGGAAAATAGTCAGGCATAACTGCATCATTTATGCTTAAATACAATTTCTGTATGTTAAGAAATAATGTGGAAGGGATCCAAAAGCATACAAGTGAGTATATAATAGGAATATGGTGTGCAAATGTCAAAATGGGCATTGTAACCTGTTGCCATGTTGTTGCTATGCAACATGGTGATGTCACTTCTGTAAATATGTTTGAATTGTTGTATTTTAGGAAAATAAGACTTTTTGTAATGGTCTTATAGCATCCTAGCATATATTAAGTGGATTTATATTGTAAAATATGTTATTTTAGATGGTTGCTATGTGGTTGCTAGGCAAATATATGATTTCACAAAAGATCAAACCCCTCAGATTAGAGCTTATCTTAGTGTCCAACTTTGTGCCAAGTTTGGTTGCTCAACTTCAATTCTCCATTGGTGAATTATAGTGAGATAAGGAGTTTGAAATTTGAATTTTCTGTTAACATTGAGTTAAAAAGCAGTAATAATGGGTATCCTCTGTAATCTCAATTATTTTTCTAAAAAGGGCTTTAGAAAAAGGGCCCTGTCTCTAAAATGTCTTGAAATACATAGAACAATAAGAAAAAACTCCAAAACGAACTTTAGTATGAAAACGCAAGGTCCCTATGGGGGCCTTGCACCAATTGATTCCACTATATAGTCAACTATCACACTGATAAATAAATTCAGATTTCACTACATTCTACAATCAGTCAAGCTATATGTACAGCCTCAAACCATTTAAATAGTATATTACATGTATAGTTATGATATGTACACACAATGTAGAACATACATACAAAGATTCAATTGAATATAAACAAGCATGGGCTTTCAAGAGCTTGAAAACCCCATAAAACAGTTAGTAACCACTTTATTCAATACTTATACAAAATAAATACAGAGTTATTGTCATTTGGTAAATCTAAAATAAGATTTGAGATATCTTGTTTCCAAGATGAGCAATTTGAAGAATTGAAACCAAATTACAGAAATTTTTTAACTTAAAATGTATATACATGTATATATATAATCCCCCCATTCTGTATATATTTCCCAAAATGTAAGGAAATGACTCAATTGGTTACTAGACATAAAAATACCAGAACTACTAAGAAACAAGATTCTAAAGAACATCTTTGGCTTGACACTTTTTTGGACGGATTATCTCATAAATTGCATTACATAATTTATTAACTGGATCTCTTATTTGGATAGACACACTTTGTATTTCTTTTTTTTCTGATACACAAACATTGTATTCTTTTTTTGGATAGACACCCATTATTAAATATTGAACAACACACTAAGTCATCCCCTAACCTTTTCATTATTTCTTCATCATAGCAACTGCATAACGATTACTTTTAAGAATGACAATTAACTCCTCAACTCATCACTCTATTTTAATATAACAATTTATTATGAAAAGAATTTTAAGTATTTTTAGCTTGTGACAATTGCATTACAGTGATACAAACTATTATACATTTTTTAACTTTGGATTGCAACACAAAAATATTAAGTTAGAATATTTAGTTTCTAGTATTGTTGTTTTGTTGTAAAGGTTGAGGCTATTATCCTCTGACCCCATTATGGATCTTCATAATATTGCTATACTATAAGAAACAAATCAAATCTTTCTGTCAAAATGTTGAACTGTGTTGGAATCAAAGTTTCTCTTCTATAAAAACCACATAGACCTAAATAATTATGCAATGTGTGCAAAACATTTTATTTATTAACCCATAGGTGTGATGATTCTCATAATAGTACATCAGAACAGATATATATGTGCAAATGGTCAGATCAAAGTAGCATTGTTATTTAAAATGGTTAATTTTGAATTAACCCCTTGTTTTCCTGACTATTCATTGAGGTCCCTCAAATGATAATTTAAAAATGGATACATATTTTCTATTACAAAACATCGCTACAGTTAAACCTGTCTTAGTGAACACCAATTACAAGCAAACACAATTTCTCAGAATATACTCCATTGACTTCTGTATAAAATCCTCCAATGTTTTCCATACATACAGATTTTACTATATTCTCACAAAACCAATGGCCCTTGACCCCACCTCTATGAAACCCATGTACTTATATCATATGAAGAACAAGGGTTCAGAGTGTAAAGATCCCCATTAAGAAACCAAGAAGTGACATCAATGGTTCCAGGAAGTGATATCAATGGATCCAGGAAGTGACATCAATGAATCCAGGAAGTGATATCAATGGATCCAGGAAGTGACATCAATGAATCCAGGAAGTGATATCAATGGATCCAGGAAGTGACATCAATGAATCCAGGAAGTGATATCAATGGATCCAGGAAGTGACATCAATGAATCCAGGAAGTGATATCAATGAATCCAGGAAGTGACATCAATGAATCCAGGAAGTGATATCAATGGATCCAGGAAGTGACATCAATGAATCCAGGAAGTGATATCAATGGATCCAGGAAGTGACATCAATGAATCCAGGAAGTGATATCAATGGATCCAGGAAGTGACATCAATGAATCCAGGAAGTGATATCAATGGATCCAGGAAGTGACATCAATGAATCCAGGAAGTGATATCAATGAATCCAGGTAGTGACCTCAATGGATCTTAAAGCTGGAGTCATTATAACAACATCTCCCCAGATATCTATTTTAGAATTACACACCTATGGTCTACAGTACAATAATATTCACACAACTAGCTGAATGAACTGAGAAAAGTGTGAATCAAACAATATACATACATACAAATGTACATGCATAATGCTATCTTAAATCATAGACTTTAAGTCCACTTTAAAATGTTGTAATATTACTTTATGGCAGTATGAGCAAATGCTTTGAGAATATACTTCAAAAATATGATATTCCTTTAAATTTTATTGAGAATGTAATATTCTTCTTGTAGAGTAAAACCCTATTAGTCATACACATTGGGACAGATAAATATAGCAATTTCCATGAAAGAAAGCCACCAAGTTTGCAACAAAGCTCCATTCCTTCTCCCTATAGGGGAAAATGGCGTGGGAATAGAGATTTAGTGCACAACTTGTGTGGTAATGTATATTAACTTCTTATATAAGGCCTTGAAATGTATCCTCACATATTCATCATGGAATGGAGTGTAACACATGAATGATTTGTCACACAAAGAATGTTTATGTACTCAGTCACATTTACAAATTAAATCTTCACAAATCATACTCCTACTTTATAACTGGACGGCTATTCTTAACAAACTCATGATATGTTAACATGATATGTCAGTATTTTCACATTCTGACTGAAATTCATGATATGTTTACATTACAAACTCATGATATGTCAGTATGTTCACATTTTGACTGAAATTCATGATATGTTTACATGACATACTCATGAAATGTTAACATTTGAACCTCATGATATTTCAGTATGTTCACATTTTGACTGAAATTCATGATATGTTTACATTACAAACTCATGATATGTCAGTATGTTCACATTTTGACTGAAATTCATGTTTACATTACAAACTCATGATATGTTCAAATTCTCTGCACTTCTGCATCATACATTATTAAACTGGTCTCCACATTCTATCCATCAAAGTCATGATTCAGTACCATTCCTCTTCTCTATGCTTATAGAGGCTTCTTCGATAAATATATAATTCAGTCAAATTCATACTTGATAAATAATGCTAAAAATATATTTAGCTGTACTGTTGAGAATATGTTTGCATTAAGATGTACATTAGGGGTCCTGCGATTCATCGATATATCGATGCATCGGCTCGTTTGGTGACAATACGAGCGTATCGATACGAAGACTCAAATATCGATACACCAAAAATATTATTAACATACCTGAAATCCATCATATTCTGCCGAAATCTACTGAATATTTGGCTTTTTGAGAAACTGTTTTTATATCTTTTGTTTGGTTTCTCACTGGACATGACACGCCCAAAATGTTGTATAAATGCGAACAGAATGCTTAGCGGATTGACAGTCTTAATGCGAACAAATAACTCATGTCATCGATGTTTAATAAAACCAAACTACTTTGTTATATAATTCTATATACTTTTTGACAATTTAGTATGAATAAATATAATCTTTGAACTTTTTATTGGATAGAACGCGTTAAATTTATTGATAACTCTAATAAAAAACGAACAATATTTACGTTCTGAGTATTAATGTTGACCGGAGGTTAGAAATTGAAACTTTTTGAAAGTTTTGAACACAATTGATAGAATTATGGCCGTGTAAGCATCAAACATGGGTAGTTGTGTTATCATTATATCCCCCAATAGAAAATCTACTGTAGTACTTTTGAACATTCCTCAGCCTAATGGGAAAGCACAGCCGGACTTCATAAAAATTGCAAAATACAATGCATAGACTAGATAAGGGACTACTATACAGCAGGTAGGCTTGATACTAGACTAAAGTTTTTATACTGCATCTGAATCAAATGTCACAGCAAGTGATAGACTTTAAACTCGACCTCAGCCACGTCAGTGTTGCACCCCCCCCCACCCCCCCGGTGTAACTACACTATTATGTATCGTATCGTTGCTCGTATCGTGACCTGAGTATAGAGATACGTATCGTATCGTTTCATAACGTATCGTGGGACCCCTAATGTACATGTACAGCTAAATATATTTTTGCTTAAATAAATCTGCATTAAAGTGTACAAGTTCTGCTAAAATACTTTTTGGATTTCAATTTTATCTACAATACTTGCATCAACCCTGCAAAGACCAACTCAACAGTACCATTACTTCCTCCAAGGACGGTTTTCTCAATATCAAATATCACTCCAATAAATATCAACTCTTTGTATGTATTACCTAAGATATCTATGATTGCAAATTTGCACTGTGCATTTTTGTTGCCACTTCGTCTACATAGATAATGTCTGGTCGCTGTTCTGGGTCTGGATTAATACACTGGGCTACAAGTTCTCTCAGCTGGAAAACAATGAAGACTGTTTAATGGGGGAATACAATACATTGAATCAGCAATACAACTTTAATGTGAAATATATTAATCTGAAGGAAAAATACAATAAATTCAATGAGGAACACAATATTGTTAAGGAAGGAATACATTGACTTTTCTTATTTTTCTATTTATTTTTTATTGAAAAATAACATTTATTCACATTTTTGGTCAGAACACAATCATATACTAAAATTTTGTACTTCATCTACAATCAAATATTTCACAATGGAAGTCTGAACAATAAATGCTGCAAAGCAAATTTATATTATGACTTATGGAATAAATACTGTAACTATACAGTAAATCCTGTAACCACAGTACATGCTGTAAGTATAAAGTAAATCTCTTAACTCCAGTACATGCTGTAAATATACAGTAAATCCTGTAACCACAGTACATGTTTTAAATATACAGTAAATCCTGTAACCACAGTACATGCTGTAAGTATAAAGTAAATCCCTTAACTCCTACATGCTGTAAATATACAGTAAATCTTGTAACCACAGTACAAGCTGTAAATATACAGTAAATCCTGTAACCACAGTACATGCTGTAAATATACAGTCAATCCCTTAACTACAGTACATGCTCTAAATATACAGTAAATCCCGTAACTCCAGTACATGCTGTAAATATACAGTAAATCCCGTAACTACAGTACATGCTGTAAGTATACAGTAAATCCTGTAACTACAGTACATGCTGTAAGTATACAGTAAATCCTGTAACTACAGTACATGCTGTCAAAATACAGTAAATCCCAGAATTATGGTACATGCTGTAAATATAAAGTAAATCCCGAAACTACAGAACATATTGTAAGTATATAGTAAATCATGCTGTAAATATACAGTAAATCCTGCAACTCCAGTACATGCGTTAAATATACAGTAAATCCTGTAACTACAGTACATGCTGTAAATATACAGTAAATCTTGTAACTACAGTACATGCTGTAAATATACAGTAAATCCTGTAACTACAGTACATGCTGTAAGTATAAAGTAAATCCTGTAACTACGGTACATGCTGTAAATATACAGTAAATCCTGTAACTACAGTACATGCTGTAAATATACAGTAAATCCTGTAACTACAGTACATGCTGTAAATATACAGTCAATCCCTTAACTACAGTACATGCTCTAAATATACAGTAAATCCCGTAACTACAGTACATGCTGTAAATATACAGTTAATGCTGTAAATATGTAATAAATGTTGTAAAGAAAAGAGTGAAAGTGACTACCTCACCAAAAACATCTAGACAATGATCAATTACATGAATTGCAATGTAATCAATGTACAATATATTTATTCTATTTTTGTGAATACGTGTGAATCTTTCACAATCGATGTTCCAAAAAGCATTAAAGGTCTAGTGGAATATTCTCAAGTTAAAAAACCACAGGTATTCAAAGAAAAAATAGAATGAAATATTTGTTTTGTTAAATCACTGTCAAGCTTACCATTCCTAATATTGTAAAGACATAATATGTCTATGTCTGCCATGAATACATGACTATAACATTGGCCTTAACAAACTCTCTGAATATGTCAGGAATACCTCCATTTATTGACAAGTTGTCTAATTTGACATGATCAGTATATATTGCCCAATCTATCATGTCATGCAACCCATGAAAGCTTGACAGTGAAATAATAAAGTGAATTTTATTTAATGATCACCAGGAATATGCCCAAGCTGATTCTAACAGACATCAAATCGTTCATCTTTTGCAATCATCGTTGGCATATTTCTTGCATCATATAGGCCTATGCTCTGCCCTCTTCTTTCTAAGATAACAGAGGGTGGGAGAATGGGTAAAACAGTGAGGCTAACAACTACTTGATTATGGCCATGTGAGAACTGTACCATTGCATAGTACAGTGAAACCCTCTCATATTAAAATGCTTGGAGTAAATAATAATACACCATAAAGTACCAAACATGCATGGTGATACCAACAACATATAATGTGATGAATGATATGATAAATAAGCTTACTCTAAAACATGCAAGCAAACATTGATAAACTTTAGAATTACAAATTGAAGACTAGGAAACATGAGAAGAATTTCCAGCAACCCAAAGTTTAACCACAAGAATTGGTTTTAACAAGCATGCAAAATTGTTAAAACATTAATTCTGTCTGATCTAAATGATTAGCCTAGTTTCTAAGATTGGTCTATTTCTAAGGCAGTATGATATGGAACCGCATATCTATGAAACATGTGAGTACATGTGATATCATTGAAACAATCATTCAGTGATGGAAAATCACAAACAGATTGTTTCAAGTTCCTCAATGTAAGTGGGATTACAACATAAAGTGAGCTACAACTCAGAAATGAGCTGATTGTGCTCAGATCAGAGCTACCAAGGCTCAGATTTGAGCCACTCGAGCTCAGATTTGAGCCACTCCATGTTACCTGTACAGAATATGACTCTGAGGGGATGGGTGGGTAGTCACATTGTTCAATCTTCTTACATAACGAAAACAAATTCATCTTGTCTCCGTAAAATGGTGACTGCAAGGCGGCCATCTATAAAACACTAGCAGTACTAAATACCTTGCATTAAACTAAGAGACTGGTTCATTTAATCACATACAACACACTGATCTGGTAACCCAAAATGAATTAATTGCAAAAAGCTAAATCATCAAATATTTCATCAAATCCCCCATTGTTCCATTTTTGCCCCGACAGTAGATTTCAGGAAACATATATATGCTACATATACTTCCTTGGTTCCATGGTTAATGAGGTACATTTTTTTACAATTCATATATCTGATTCCTTCATTGAACAGAATCAAGGGTAAAAGAACTAAGGGTACCAGGTCAGAGTATTGTAAATAATTACAATTGACCAATCTCCAAAACATTCCACACAGTCTTACCTCCAGGGAGTACCTATCAGGCAACTGAGGGTAATCACACTGCTCTATTTTCTTACATAATGAATACAAGTTCATTTTCTCTCCATAAAATGGAGACTGTTGGGCTGCCATCTATAAAGAAAATTAGAACTAACATCCCAAAAGTAGGTACTATGTATGAATACACATAGTGAAAATAAATGCATTATCATACATTCAAATATATTAACTGAAATTGAAAGTAACAATTATAGGTGCTTTGATTGAGTCCAAATGTCTAAAAACAATCAAAGATAATCATATAATAAAAAAAATGAGAAGTACTATTTAGTTTTGTGACTGACATTCACATTTCAAGTGAACTATTCAATTAGAATACAAAAATTCAATAAAAAACATTGACCTTTTAAAAAAAGCCAGAGGAAAAAACAAGTATCCCTTCTTTTTCTCTGAAAATTATTTGTAAGAAATAATACTGACAAAAGGGTATGATCCGTGAGCCTGAATTAATATATATTGATAGATGATACGGTGAAACATAGGTAGAAGTGGCTACTAATCAATAGTAATCTAATAGAGGGTGTATATGTATAGTATAAGACTCAGCTCATGCTTAAAATTCCTTATGCCTCATCTTTATTTCAAATTATTTCTCTAAAAATGAATCACACTGTCCAATTTCCTTGAATTAATATTAATTATATAGTTCAGTGTTCACACCAGAGAATTTATTCCCCATTAATTTCAGTTAATTACAGACCAATAGTATGACATTTGTGACTTTTTATTCAAAGGGCTAAATTGATCTATTGATGTTGTGTTAATAAGGAATCATTCCCCTACAATCAGTTAACAGTTTTTTTTATGAAACAGCAATTTGTTTTAGTGTTTGATTAAACTGTTGATAATATATAACCATTCATATGAACTGAATAATAACTGTTCATTTGGCACTCAACCGACGACAAAACTGAAATCCAGGGAATAAAATATACTATTGATTGTCCTCATATTTGATTAGGTTTGCAACATTGATCTTACCAACATTTCCCCAGTCATCTTAGAATAAAACCAAGATTATATTTTGCATAACACTCAGGGGTTTCATTAGCAGCATGCAGGAAACAGGCATTTTCAACAGTTTTTAGGGACTTTTCAATGTTAAATTTATGATTTTCATTAATTTTGCTTGTTATTTTCATTTATTAGGCCTGTTGTGAGAAATTCTAGGGAAACCCCTGACACTGTACTTTACAACTTCTAGCTTATAATTAAATGTGCAGATTTTTATTGGTAAAAGATAAAATCATGTATAATCAATAATATGCAAAGGTATTGTGCGGATATATAGCTCATTAGTGTATACCATAGTAATAAATCATATTAAAATCCAGATAATATAAATCCTGCAAGAATCAAGTCATATTTCTAATAAGTAATAATGACTGATTGTCTCATAAATCAATGAATCACCTTATCAAAGGCTCTCTTCTGAACTGAATCTAGACCTGATTATTTTCAATAAATAAATGACAATAAATAAATTTCCATAAATCAGTAATTTTTTTTATCTGACTTACCTCATATAGTAGACAGCCTAATGACCAGATATCTGATTTAAAGTTGTAGCCATTTTCATGAATTCTTTCAGGTGACATATAGTATGGGGTACCCACTTAAACAAAACATATACATTATTAATTCATTATAATAAGGGTTAACCACTAAAACATACAATTATACATATAGTACAGGTAGTACTCACTTAAACATTAAATGATATGTAATACAATAATATTATGTATGCAAAATACATATTATGTATAGTATGGGTTACCCACTAAAACAGAATTATACATCATTATAACATGAAATGCTCAAAAAACATATGATTATTCATATACGAAGAGTGACAAAAGCCAGGAATTTATTATGTCAATATCATATATTTTCTCAGTCCATTATATCTATCTGTTGTAAGTAGCTGCTAAGTGCTGTATAAAATGCTGAGCCAAATGGCATGTACAGGTACAGTGTATAGAGAAAATAAGAAACAGGGTTTGAGACAATCGTGTCTAATAATACAATTTTAACCAAATCCTAAATTAAATTAGCTCAAGCCACATTCGCTTAATAAAATAGATCATATGCTTTGTGCCATGATAAACACCTTACCTAATGAATGTGCTGCTGTTGTTTTGGAGCTGAAGAAACGACCTAGACCAAGGTCTCCTAACTTAACTATACCCTGGGCTGTGATAAATACATTAGCTGGCTTGATATCTGAAAAAAACATTCACAGAATGTAAAATAATATAAATATATTAAAATAAAATAATGGAAAAAAGTGTTTCTTGTAAACTTGATTTACCTCAACAGAAAACTTAACAGCATGCGTCTAAGACTGATGTTGCTCAGTGATTTACATACCTCAAGGATGGGAAAATCAAACGAAGAATCTAAATCATCACTAGACATCTTCAAGAACAGGATCCTATACATGATTCTCCTATAGTACATATGCACTTACACCTGAAGATGATCCTCCTGCCCCTGGGCAAAATCTTAGAGTTAATATGTACTTATCCCTGTGCATGATCCTCCAAAAGTCCCTCTGTGCAAAATTGTAGCGATCATATGTACTTACCCCTGTGCATGATCCTCCTAAAGTACCCCTAGGCATAATCATAGAGTTTACCCGTGGGCTTGATCCTCCTTAAGTACCCCTGAGCAAAATTGTAGCGATCATATGTACTTACCCCTGTGCATGATCCTCCTAGAGTGCATATGTTGTAAAGCGCTGCATATCTGTTTAAAATACTTCCATATAGTTCTCTCTGGAATTAACTTTTGCTGCTTCTTGAAGTGCTACAACAAACAAACAACATCACATTTTATACTAAGAAATGATTTATGAGTTTACATTGGCACAATTTGGATATTTTGATAAAGCAACGTGACATTTCATTAGAAATTCAATGACAGCACTCTCAACACTTGAAAACATCAGTGACCTAAAATATTTAATGTTTTGTTCATTGACAAAAACAGACATTTAGTAAACAAAGGATATTGTACAAATCAATCCCTCAAGCTCTGGACAATGACGAGTACACCTGGCTTAGTGTTCCTGCAATTATTGACCAGAATGTTTATGCTGTAACACTCACCTTGATCATCCTCGATAAGTCCCCTGCATCTGCCAACTCAAGTACAATGTTCAACTCATTGTCTTCTATAAATGACGCAAGGTACTTGATGACATTCGGGTGGTTCAGTTGCTGGAAAAAATCCAAAGAAATAAAGTAGAAATTTAAGTGTAATCTACAGTGTACTCTAAAGTGTAATATGATAATATACTATTATTACATGTGTGTAATCAAAATCACTTTATCATTGATTGTGTGCTTGGGTGAGATTATCTTATAATTTTAGTTATAATTACATTAATTATTTGACATACAACCTTTTCAGAAAGCCAGGGTAACATAAATCATGGCATAAAACAGATGCCCAATATCCACTTCCTTTTTAACTCATTAAAGCTTTGTGACTTCAATTTTGTGATTATTATGAAACACCTTCAATTAATAAATGATAGAAAATGAAAACACTTGTAAATTGTATGTGTTAAGTACTCTTACCTTTAGCAGATCTATTTCTTTAATACAGTCATTTCTAGCCTTAGCATCCATCATCTCAAAGATCTAGAATTAAAACAAATAACTGTATGCTATAATAATATATATAAAGTATTTCAATTTATTTAGTATTTTTTCTCCAGCTGACATCCATTATGACACCATATACAATGAAACATGGATAATTTTTAAGTGACTTAAAGTATTGAAGCATGTATCTTAAAAACATGAAAATGTACAGGTATCGCCTTCAAGCTAAAAATCCTTTTACATGTTCCTTACCTGGACCTTTTTGAGAGCTGTGATACTGCCTCCATCCCTCATACACTTTGCTCTAAATACTTCACTGAATTGTCCTTTACCAATTTTCTTTTCAATAACAAAGTTCTTCAATGTGCTATATACATTATCGGGGTCAACCTGGCTGACTGGCATCTCTGTGTCCATCGGTTCACCCATCTTACAGTTGGTATTGGGTGCAGTACTTATGTAAGCTCCTGGTCAATTGTTTCCTCAACAAAGGTTGATGGTCTTATATTGATGAGACCTTCTTCCTACAACATAGAAAGATTTCCTTTTTCAAAAATGATACCAGAAATTGACAAGGGGAGGGGGTGATGATAATAACAACTGCTTTTTGAAAATCCTACACTTGAGCCGCTTTTGAAATAAGCTTGTTTTCAACAATGAGGGCTATTTTGGTATTTTATTTAGCTAATGACATTATACAAAATCTTATTATGAACAACAAGAATTAAAAGTAAAATATGACCTTGTGAAAGTAGCAACAAACCATAGCATAAAGATAAATACAAAACATGTAATTACTTTTCTGAAGAAAGATATAAAACAGATATACATGTACTTGCTCAATATGGTGGAAAACGGCATGATTTCGAAAAATTATTTGGTTAGGGGGAAAAATCGCTAAACCCAACTACATCCCTGATCATAGGCCAAGGGAAAAGTATATGAGTTTCTATAATTAGCTTACTACATACTCTAGTCTCTAGCCAAATTACTTGGCTAGACATCATGGTATGTGAAACACAATTAACTTGAAAGAAGAACTAAAATTGAAAAAACTTGTCCTTTGTGCAATATTTCATGATTTTGTTTAAAATTGAGGAAAATGCCAGATATTCGACAACAACGATGGAAACTGGATGAAAATGTCGTTCATGTCTGACATTATAACTGGCTGTAAATTCAAAGTAACAATTCAAAAGATTTGAACTAATATATTGATCACTTCTTGTGAGTAGAGCTCTGATCATTTGTCGGAATCGTCGATTGGCGATCGAAATGTCACTTCGACATCGACATCGACATAAGCGTCCAAGGTCGACATAGAACGACATAGAAGTAATACGATGATAAACAAAGAACATACCTTAATTTCCCAACATACTTTTATCACTCTTGTTGAGATAATGGTTGCATTAGCTAACAGAATTTACAGCGAATTTAAATATTGTGTTTTTCCCCCATTTAATTTTTATATTCTCGTTTCACATCTCGTCTCATTTTCGATCTCGAGAAGTCGTCTGTAGGGGCTTCTGATCGGAACGGTAAGTCATTTTATTCAATTTCGTTGATATTCTTACAAAGTTTTAACCAGAATTACAATCCGTGTTAAAGATTACACCCCAGAGATATTTTATTTCGAAACTTCGTGTGTGGCTTTGGCTTGCATGGCTACTGGGCTATTCGAAGTGCTGCAACGGGACGAGCCGGATCCACCGGAAGTGTAAGTAGCAGAACAATAACAATGGCGGTTCGCATTCAAAGTTTGTTTATTTACTTCTCGATCTCTAACATGCAAACGTAATGCATAATAATCTATAATATCAATATACAGTACATGCGAGGGGTCGGGATAGACAATGTATGCTCATTTTTTACCGGAAGTAAAATCTAAGTCATAATTTTTGATTTTTTTCTTTGCCAAGTTTTTTGTGGAATTTTTATTCCGACAGTCGATACTGTCGTCGACCTTGGGCTTCGACATGTCGACATCAGATTCCATTTCGACCAGAGCTCTACTTTGTGAGTTTTAATATTTTTTTTATGAGGTAATAAGACCAAAACCCGCAATTCAAATTTTGAAGTGAAAAAATGGTGGCTGGTTTGATTTAAAATTTTGTGATCGCGGCATGACTCATATGCGGCAGAATAAAACATACAGGGATTTATGGTTTGCATAAGGCTGGAATACAGTGGAAGCCTTAGACTCAGCTAACTTTTTCCTTAGCCTATACCCTGGAATCTGGATACACAAATACAACTACATGTAGTTTAAGGATTGTTCCAAAGCTAAAACCCTTGAATCCCCTTGTAACGTTCCAGAAAGAAGGTACAAGACAGAAGGTTTTGCAACTAAAATATGAATGTATTTTTCCATATAATATTGCGCTTTGGCATTGGTCATTTGGCCCCCTTATTTGGCTTGACTGACACACAGAAAATTGAATCGACTGTAGGGCAAAGCTGGGTTGTAACAATGACGTGTTAGGTAATGTCGACATGAGAAATAGGGTAACTTTGACACTTGTTTGACTCCTAAAAAATTAAAATCTCACGAGATCTCGATCCATCAAGAACATGTATTCCCCTTGATTGGAAATTAGAGCAAATAAACAACAAGGTGTTGAAGTTACATCGATGTTATACACCTACACTCAACACCAATGCATAATTATCATATTATCGTTATGAAGAAAATTGTACAAGATCTAAATTGAAAAAAATAGCAAAGTCGTCCATTTTGTTGTTTTCTGAGGAACAGTGACTTGGTAACAGGTTGTAAGTTGTAACCCAGTGCATTGTATATCGTCTCTGCAAAAACTTTATTTTGTTAGGACTGTTTGTAACAAAAATAATTTAGCTGTATAACGTATATTTGCGATTGTTGTGGAGTAATCAAAGTGAGGATAACTCCTTGATTATATAAGGAACTATACAAATGTTAGTAATAGTAACATTTGCATAGTATTACTACCCACAAACACTTGGAAAAAGTTCAATAATTTTGACAGAAAATTCTCCGCCATCTTGGATTTTTAGTTTACATGACAGCCCTTACCTTTCCGTAGTAACCAATGCTTTATAGTCCGAATCTACCCCTCAATCTTTGCAGAACAATAGCAAAGTATGTTTTTCTTCCGTACGATATACCACTGTACTTTTCCAAATGGCAAATGTGCAGAAATAACAATTATATTTGTTTTGCAGAAAAAATCCTCCGGAGATGCATTACCCAGAATGCACTGCAGACTAATAGATGTCACTACTGCAACCATTCCGTTCAGAGTAAACATTGTTGTTTTCCCGGGTATTGACAAATGATATTCCCTTGACATATAGACACAGGAACAAGAGTTCACCACTCCTCTCTCACTATGTATAAACGTGAGTGGGTAAAGGGTAAACTCTTGTTCCTGTGCCTGGGGTCAAGGCAACTATCAAGTTAGTGACATCGCTTTCTTCATCTGTGACATCAATCACATATTGGCCCATACAACGTTTTGTTAGTTGATTTTCTGTTATGAATAGTGGGTCAATTATCTCCATATATTATATGGCCTTTGTATGTTTCAATGGAATTTTCACTGGATTATCATTCTCACATCCTTTAGTATCCCATCAAGAGTCTTTAATTAATGAATGTCAGGTTACTGGTCAGTTTACTTTTGCTTGATAATAATGCAAATATAGGTCAACAGCACACACTGAGGTCACATGTCAACATTATGGTCACAAGTCAACACTCCTAAAGTGACATGTCAACGACACTGAAGTCACAAGTCAACAGCAATGAGCTACATGTCAACAACACTAAAGTGACATGTCAACACCACTGAGGTAACATGTCAACAACACTGAGGTAGCAGGTCAACAACACTAAAGTGACATGTCAATACCACTGAGGTCACAAGTCAACAACACTAAAGTGACATGTCATCACCACTGAAGTAAAATGTCAACAACACTGAGGTAAAATGTCAACAACACTGAGGTTACAGGTCAACAACACTGAGGTAACATGTCAACACCACTGAGGTCACAAGTCAACAACACTGAGGTGACATATCAACAACACTGAGGTAAAATGTCAACAACACTGAGGTAACATGTCAACAACACTGAGGTAGCAGGTCAACAACACTGAGGTAACAGGTCAACAACATTAATATCATAAGTCAACAATACTGAAGCAACAACACCAAGGTCACAGGTCAACAATAATTAGGACACAGGTCAACAACAATAAGGTCACATACCAACAAGTCTAAGGTCAAAACCACTGATGCCACACACATTTTAGATCCTGGCAATGCCTTGGTAATACAAGGCATTAACATGACAAAATTTCACCATCCAGTTGCTCACAATATTATTAGTTCAATCTTAAGTCAGATTTGAATTTCTGAGAACTTGTAGATGATTTTGGAAAAATTGGTCAATTTGAAGCAAGTTGAAAAATACCTTTTTTGAACCTGAGAAGGTCATTCAACTGTTGAAAGTCAACTATATTTTAGATTTGTCACTTAATGAGAATGTCACTGAAGGTCAAATCTAAAGTCAGAATTGAACTACTGATAACTTGTAGATGATTTTGAAAAAATGGTCAATTTGAAGCAAGTTGAAAAAAGACCTTTTGACCTTTTTTGACCTTGAGATGGTCAATGAAGGTCAAATTTAAAATCTATAGTCAGATTTGAACTTCTGAAAACTTAACTAGATTCTAAACAGTATTTGTTAAGTTTTAAGAATTTGTTTCAGATGCCAAGATTTGTTACAGATGCCAAACGCCGCCACAAAAAACGAAGACCACAGTAATATGTCACCACTTTTTGATGGCAACATAATAAGGTATAGTAGTAGACATTTTGATATAAGTTGTTTGGGGAACAGAAACCCACAACTTCAATAATATAAACAAAATGAAAATAAAGAAAATATACATAAATATTACATAGATTTTATTTTTCTTCAACCATTTCATTTTTATGACCCATTGCAATTGCTTCTGAGCTTCTAGGGCCACTGTACCCTAATACCGTAAGTTGCAGTTTTCCTTCTAAGAACTTCTGAATCAAAGGAGTCAGGAAAATCAAGCCAAGAGTATATGCATGTAACGTAAAGAATTATTTTATGCAGTATCAATATAGGATGTATTCAGACAATGTTAGAGGTACATCTTAAATACTATCTATAATATTTTTACACAGATACAATATGCAATACAAAAATATGTTCAACCTTTGTGTAAAAAAAGCACAAAAACCAGTACAGTGTATCATCACACATTCATAATTAACTTTAGGTAAATAAATAAATACAGGTAGTGTCCCTTTGACTCATATGTATACATGATTATTTTTAAGAGAAAAGGTCCAGTTGATGCCATAAACAATGCAATAATGCTGCTTCTAAGGGAAAAGGTCATTGGATTGATGTTTTTTATTCTATTTTTTTATTTTTATTTTTTTTCACAAATATAATTGATTCTCATATTTTGGGAGGGGGTCAAATCCATTTCTTTATGCTGATGTACAAAAATTCTTGAAAGTTTGAGAATTTTTTTGAAATTAATCAATAATTGTTCAGTAATATTTAGGGGAGAGAGAAGGTTCAGTCTGAAATGTAATTAATTAGGTTTTGAAATATTGACCTAGTCTCTTAAACAACAAAATTGTCTCCAAAAACACATTCTGCCTTATTTGCTTAAGTCAGTTTCACTCATGACATCACTTGTACATATATGGTAATGACTTAGATCTTCTTTGGTACCCGGTGCAGGTGCCCGACTCATGAGATCCCAACCATCAGATGATTTTGGGAAAGCTATCACATCACGAATACTTGGAGCATCGCAAAGTACTGCAATCAATCGATCAAGTCCTGAAATGATTCAAACAAATATAATATATTTTGGTAATATTAATCTAGATTACAATAAAACATAGATTTCTTACAGTATCCAAGTAAGAAGTATAGCACAGGTGTTCTTGTATAGTGAAAATATACTTTTATGAATTATGATATTGTAAATTCTTCTGTGGTTTATTGGTTAGAAAGCACAAAGTTCATCATCAAGAAAACAAAGTGGCAAAAGTAACTTAATTCACATATTTAAAGGGAACAAGTCTCATAATTGTGAAACTTAGTCAGTTTACACCATTAAAGACAGAGCATTGATATTACATAGCCAAACTAACAAGAAAAAAGTTGTATGCACAATCAAAAAATATGTTACCTAGTGCTATCCCACCATGTGGTGGACATCCATATTCTAGGGCTTCAAGTAAATGTTCCAATTGGCCTACTTCAACCTGGAAGTACATAAAACAATTCATTACTTATTACTACCTTCAAGTACTGTTTATTCCCCATATACTCCAACCATTAGATTGGATTTCACTGCTGTCAAAACAACTGAAATACTCTCAGACAAAGGATGTATATACTTTCATTTTGGAAACTATTATAAATGTTTCGATAACTGTAGTTATTAATAACCACCCCACTGTGAGATAAAAATATAAAATAAAAGCAATAAAATATTGTGAATAACATAATAAATTTTTATTGAGAAGATTATTGACTGCTGATTCAATAAATAAAATAAGTATGTGGGTTAAATTCCTATTTTGCTGATTAATATATTAAACAATTTTGCTGATTAAAAACATTTAGAGATTGTTACTTGCATTATTGTTTGTGCCAGATAACAACAGGTATGTTAGATCAATTTCTAATATTTGAAAAAGATATATGTAAGACAGCAGGATGTACACAAAAGAAACATGTATTTATCTTTCAATTTTGTAACATTTCTTTTTTTATCAATAAAAGATTACAAAAAGCGCAATTAAGATGACCACACATTTTACACAGCGTACAATGAACATGTATTTTGTCACCATGATCACTGAAATGGTACTACATCAGAGATTTGATCATGAAGGCTGATTTGACACCATGTTAGCAAATCTAATGTATTTTCCATTTGCAAGAACAGGTAGTTGTAGTTGGGTCTGAAAACACAAACTTTTTTATATGACCATTATGACCCATTACTCCATTTGTTACCATACTGCTCCATAGACTATATTTTCTGATTAATTTCCATAAAAACTTTATCTGACTGCAACACTTAAAATTTCAAAAGTGGTATCTGTATAAGTCAAAGATAAATTTAATGCATATTGTCTTTTTAATAAATGATAATTAGAGGATCCTCTATAAATTTATGAGTGATATGATTTTTATCCACAAATGGATATAATATCTACATGAGGGAGCGTAGTGAGAGAGTGAGTGGATTAAAATCATATCACGAGTAAATCATAGGGATGTTCTTTTTATTCCATAGTTAAAGTCATCATCAGAATCGTTGGAAATTAAGTGATTTAATTAGAATTTTCCAAACGATCCGGCGATGTTGACACTTAGCCTCGTTTTGAATCTGAAGTAGCAAAAATCCATAATTCATAGCATACGGCGCCGTATGTCATGGCTTAAACACCGTATGCTATGGTTAAGTGAAAATTTGTTAAAAATATCATATTTTACCACTGATTACAAAAATACTGTTTTTATTTTGACGTGTTATCCAATGAATATCATGCTAACTATGGAATAATACCAAATATAAGTAATTCTTGCACATACATATATAATGATAACATTATAAAGACCAATTTTCAGAAGCAACTACTGTATTTGTTGTTGAAGTGGTAAATGCATTGAATGCAAAATACAAATCTTGTCCAATTTCTCATCTTGCACATTATACATATTATAGAATATTTGCAACCAAAAATACAAATACCAGATCATAATGAAGTACAGCATTGCAGTGTGTGTGGTTGTATTGGCATTGGATGTGATTATTGTGGCCAATTTAGGTAAGGATGCTATTATGCTATATGCTCTCCATCATACAAAGTAGAATACATTATACAGAGTGCCAAAGAAAAAGGACCAAAACTGTAAAGAAACCTAGTAAGAAACTCTAAAGTGTAAACCTGTCATAAATAAAATAGAGCCTATAATGTCAAAACCATGATCTGACCTAAAAATGAATACCCCCTTTTCCCTACAATTGATAGCCAGTATCACAGTCCAGAACCAGAACACCAAGGGACATTTCATCAATACTGAAGCCATTACATGTTGAAGAAAAAAAAATGATAGCCAATACTCATAACATCAAAAATAGTTGTAGATACTACTTCTCAATAAAGATAGAGCATTCAGTCTCAAATGATGTGGGATAGACGAGTGATGATGATTCCTTGTAAACTTTTTAGCTTCTGGACATAATTCAGGACAATGTAAGAGGAAGGATATCACCAATGTGTATGAGAAACTGTCTGCTGAAATCGGTGAACTGAAAGATGAGATAAAGCAAAGCATTGCTGGATTAGAGTTAAGGCTCAAACAAGAAATTCATGAGAAGTTAGATAAATTTGGCGAGTGGCTTAAGGGAGAAATTCATGGATAGGCACTGGAGACCTGATTTTACTTTGAAATTAAGTTAGTATCCTTTTAATCTGCCATTATTTCGATTAAATAGGGTAATCACAAAGAATTAATAATTGACTTTCTATAATTACATTTTACTTTTCAGAATTAATAATAAAAAATTAATAATTGACTTTCTATAATTACATTTTACTTTTCAGATTTCTCTGTTCATCACCTAATTATCATGCTTCACCAAGTGATATCATCAGTTAGATGTCATATTGATTCTTCACCTTATTTGGACTTGTTGGGACTTCTATATATTGGACTCTAACATATTTGGACTTAAAGGTTTCATCAATTAGAGACAAAAGCAAAATAATGTCAAAGTGTCCAGTAACAGCCACAAAATCTTCACTGAATTAAAGTCAAAACTTAAATGTGAATTATGCCGAATTCAAATATAGATATACTATATACACAGAGGGCACATGGGATTTATGTCCAGTGCATTAACACAAGAAAATAAACATATCAGGGATAAGTAAATCCAACACTCATTAATATCATATAAAGTTGAATTACTTAAAAGTATAACAATAGTTTCTTGCTTATATGCTCATACCCAGAAATTTCTTTGAATTTTTTTACATCTGTTCTCGTCTCAATGTACAACTAAACTTATTTTATCAAAGTGTTGGTCTTTGTATTGGTATTGATATTTTTGCGATTAAAATTATTATGTAGGAAAAATTGAAGATTAATTTTAATGCATATATTTGTTGTGCAGAGGTAAATATTTTTCGATTTTAGGGACTTTCCTATTGTACTTATAATTGAAATTCTGGAACTAAAATTGGAAGCATTCATTTGTTATACAGATTGCAATTATAAATACTTGCATTAAGTCAAAACAATACTTAATCTAATGGTATCTTGAATTTCATAGGATATGGGCATTCTGAACAGTGTCATCTATCATTGAAAAGCCAAGGACGAGACTAGACTATGAAATCATGCAAGATGAATAGACTCAGACATTTGGAACGATGTGACATTTATTTATGTTTGTTTACAACCAGTGTGTTGGCATTGAGAAACTAGGTGATCACATTTATATTTCTAATTTGAGAAGTAAGTCTTTCACTTTATATGTCTACACATTTTGGATATTTGGTTTGTGAGTAAATATTTGTATAATTCATAAAAGCGTCAAAATAATTTTAGCAAAAAACTGGTATAATTCAACAAAGTTTTGATGTATGGATACTCACCCTTGGTATACGCAGCTAACGAAAATTGACCGGTACGGGTCAAAAGCTGGACCGGTACGGGTTAACGGTTTTATTTGAATTTAAAATAGCCATAACTTGCTCAATATTGACTTCCTCGTGTCTAATTTGAAATATATGATGCCTCCTGATGCTTTTAAGTACCCCAATTTTTTACAGATTTTTAAACGGACCAAAACTCTCTAAATGCGCATTTATGCTCTTTTCTCTCGAGAACGACTGCTCATTTTCACGATAACTTTTATTTAGTACTTCTTACATATAAGATCTACTTTTCTCCATCAAGGTATGATGTAAATGACATGCTACTTACATCTTGTGAGTTTCAATGACGCGCGTTTGATTTTATAAAAAATGCCAAACTTTGTGACAAAGAATTTCATCCTGCATCCGGTTCAGGGCAATCTGCTTGCAGAGAGAAGACGGACCGGTTCGGGGCAATAGCTGATGAAATTCTTTGTCACAAAGTTTGGCATTTTTGGAATACCCTGACAACTGTAAAGTCAGATACCGTTGTCACAAATGGCGGCTACAGGTTCGTATTTGATTCGAATTTCACTAACTGCATGTTTAATAGAGCACCTAGATTAAATGCATTTGTTAGAACAAAATATTGTGATGAAAATTGATTTTTGTGTTTTCGTTTCACCATTACCGGTTTTGATAAGAAATTCTGGAAATAAGGAAGTCAATATAATTATTCTTTCGAAATCGGAAAAACGAAGCCATTTTACAGGAATTTCAGTGGAATTGGTGAGTTTAGGCGAGTGGCGGATCAATTATTGGCATGTAATCTTTCATAGGAACTTTGATTTTTAATCATTTTCGAGTTAATTGATCACGTTTTTATTATTTTAGTGACATGACCATCCACGGAAATTTCATATTATCGCCCATTTGGGGTACCTCAGCGGCATACTAACCTAGTTTTTGGCGGTATTAACCAATCAGATTTATGCAGTCCAAAACGTCCGCGCGGGGCATATAAAAGGAATTTGACCAGTTTGTCAAGTTGTTGTGCGACAAAATATTAATGGATTTACAGACTGGAACAACCACGGGGTCGTAAGTAAGAATATTTTGTTGAGTAATTGACGAAAGATTGTCATCAAATATCATCACGGTTTGTCCATTTTTTAGCCTGGACATTTTGAACATTGTTTTAGAGATTCATATCGGATTGTATCTATTTCTATATTTGCTGAGATTGTGTGTGTATTTTTGTTCATTATTTTTACTCAACATTATATTGTTATTTGGGAGAGTTGCAACCAACTTTGCAACCCCATATCGGTGCAAGGAACATTTGCACCCATATCAACCACCTGGAATAGGTGTGAAGGATATTTGGGAGAGTTGCAACCAACTTTGCAACCCCATATCGGTGCAAGGAATATTTGCACCAATTGTAAAGGACATTTGGGAGAGTTGCACCCAACTTTGCAACCCCATACTCAACGGAAGGATATTTGGGAGAGTTGCACCCAATTTGCAACCCCATATCGGTGCAAGGAACATTTGCACCCATATCAACCACCTGGAATAGGTGTGAAGGATATTTGGGAGAGTTGCAACCAACTTTGCAACCCCATATCGGTGCAAGGAATATTTGCACCAATTGTAAAGGACATTTGGGAGAGTTGCACCCAACTTTGCAACCCCATACTCAACGGAAGGATATTTGGGAGAGTTGCACCCAATTTGCAACCCCATATAGGTGCAAGGGATATTTGCACCCATTATAACCACCTGAAGTACATTTGGGAGAGTTGCACCTAACTTGCAACCCCATATTGGTACAAGGAATATTTGCACCAGGTGTGAAGGACTTGGGATATTTGCACCCAACTTTGCAACCCCATATAGGTGCAAGGGATATTTGCACCCATTATAACCACCTGAAGTACATTTGGGAGAGTTGCACTCAATCTTGCAACCCCATATCGGTGCAAGGAATATTTGCACCCGGTGTGAAGGACTTTTGGGAGAGTTGCACTCAATCTTGCAACCCCAGGAGATTTGGGAGAGTTGCACCCAATTTGCAACCCCATATCGGTGAAAGGGATATTTGCATCCAAAATAACCACCTTGAATAAGTGTGAAGGAATTTTGGGAGAGTTGCACTCAATCTTGCAACCCCAGGAGATTTGGGAGAGTTGCAACCAACTTGCAACCCCATATAGGTGCAAGGGATATTTGCACCCATTATAACCACCTGAAGTACATTTGGGAGAGTTGCACCTAATTTGCAACCCCATATTGGTGCAAGGAATATTTGCACCAGGTGTGAAGGACTATTGGGAGAGTTGCACTCAATCTTGCAACCCCAGGAGATTTGGGAGAGTTGCACCCAACTTGCAACCCCATATCGGTGCAAGGGATATTTGCACTTAAAATAATCAACGGAAGGATATTTGGGAGAGTTGCAAGTAATTGCGCAAACCCCATATCGGTGCAAGGAATATTTGCACCCAATAGTAACTAATTGAAAGACATTTGGGAGAGTTGCAACCAACTGTGCAACCCCATATCGGTGCAAGGAATATTTGCACCAGGTGTGAAGGACATTTGGGAGAGTTGCACCCAATTTGCAACCCCATATTGGTGCAAGGGATATTTGCACCCCATAATAACCACAAGGGATAGGTGTGAAGGACTTTTGGGAGAGTTGCACTCAATCTTGCAACCCCAGGAGACTTGGGAGAGTTGCACCCAACTTGCAACCCCATATTGGTGCAAGGGGCATTTGTACCCATGATTGCAACCTGGACATAGGTGCAAAGTATAATAAGAGATATAAAGGACTTGCACCCTGGTTAAGGGACAGGGGCAAGGTGCACCTTGGTTGAGGAACAAGGGCACATAAAAGGACTTGCACCCTGGTTAAGGAACAGGGGCAAGATGCACCTTGGTTAAGGAACAAGGGCATATAGAGGAATTGCACCCTGGTTAGGAACAGGGGCACACAGAGACATTGCACCTATGATTAAGGATATTTGCACCCGGTTGCACCCATAGCGTACATTTGCACCCAATTGCACCCATAGTGGATATTTGCACCCGGTTGCACCTCGGATTAAGGATTTAAGGACATTTGCACCAGGTTGCACCCTATAAGGACATTTGCACCCGGTTGCACCTCGGATTAAGGATTTAAGGACATTTGCACCAGGTTGCACCCCATAAGGACATTTGCACCCGGTTGCACCTCGGATTAAGGATTTAAGGATACTTGCACCAGGCTGCACCCCATAAGGACATTTGCACCCGGTTGCACCTCGGATTAAGGATTTAAGGATACTTGCACCAGGTTGCACCCCATAAGGACATTTGCACCTGATTGCAACTTGGATAAAGGATTTAAGGATACTTGCACCAGGTTGCACCCCATAAGGACATTTGCACCCGGTTGCACCTCGGATTAAGGATTAAAGCACATTTGCACCAGGTTGCATCTCATAAGGACATTTGCACCTGGTTGCACCTCGGATTAAGGATTTAAGGATACTTGCACCAGGTTGCACCCCATAAGGACATTTGCACCCGGTTGCACCTCGGATTAAGGATTTAAGGATACTTGCACCAGGTTGCACCCCATAAGGACATTTGCACCCGGTTGCACCTCGGATTAAGGATTTAAGGACATTTGCACCCGGTTGCACCTCGGATTAAGGATTTAAGGACGTTTGCACCTGATTGCAACTTGGATAATGGAATATAGAGGACTTGCACCCTGGTTAAGGAACAGGGGCAAGATGCACCTTGGTTAGGAACAAGGGCATATAAGGGAATTGCAAACTGGACATAGGTGCAAAGTTTAATAAGGGCATATAAAGGACTTGCACCCTGGTTAAGGGACAGGGGCAAGGTGCACCTTGGTTAAGGAACAAGGGCACATAAAGGACTTGCACCCTGGTTAAGGAACAGGGGCAAGATGCACCTTGATTAAGGAACAAGGGCATATAGAGGAGTTGCACCCTGGTTAGGAACAGGGGCACACAGAAACATTGCACCTATGATCAAGAGATATAAGGGCTTTTGCACCCATTGAGTAGGACCGTTGCACCCGATTGCAACTTGGATTCCGGATTTTAAGAATATTTGCACCAGGTTGTACATTAATAAACTTGATAAGTAGACAGTGGGGTCCCGTGGCCAGGAGCGCCATTTTATTTCAGGACAGACAACGGAATACAAAGACAAGAGCTGCATCCCACAATTGCTGAAGAAGACACAAACAAAGACATCTAATGTTATAGTGATTGTTTAATATGAGTTCATGATTATTTTATGTGGCGACTTTAGAGACATTCAAGTGATATCAACCTTTATCTTTTGCTGGAACTTATCAAAGTGATATCCTCTTTTGATCTTACTTTCTTATAGTAACTTTAGAGACCTTCAAGTAACATCACATGTATTTTTTCTGCCTTAAGGCATTAGTGATTATATAGCTTAGTGTAGTTTGAGTTCAACTTTGTACATAATTGTCTATTGTTTCTAGAGCATTGTTTGTGATTGTTTAGCTCATAAAGAGCAAATATATAACTTTATTTTTATTCTGTACTTGAATGTTCATTGTTGTATTGTATTGAGTTCCGGAGGGAACTTGTGTAGTGCAAACCCAGATTGCGTAATACTTTCTTTCCCCTTGCATTTCCTTGGAGTAACATCTCAGGCGACTGTAGCGAGCGGAGTCAACGCCGCTCCGTATAATCCCGCAATTAAGTAACACGCGGGAGAGTCCACCTTCCCCGCATTTTCCCCGCATTCCTGACCCACGGGGAAAACGTTACATTGGTGTCAGAAGTGGGATTGCTTCAGTTGTTCTTGTGGAAGCAAGGATAAGGATTTATAATAGGGACGCACATCTTGAAAATTGCATGCAAATTTGCAGGTGGAAATATCTGATAAAATGTCGGATATTGAGAGTATGGATCAAACAAAGGAACAAAAGAAAACCTGGGTCTTCTTTAAGAATGACAACGAGCATATAAAAAACCCTTTGACAGGTGATACAACTTTGCCTGTGGAACAAAGAAGTTCCCCCACACAGGATGGGGAGAAGGATACCCCGGATTTTAGTAACCAAGGAATAAGACAAGAGCAAGTAGAAAGTAGGAAACGAGAAGCATTAAACCCCTTTTTCGAGCCTACATATGCTTTTCTGAGACAGACAGTTAAACATACCGGCTCTATAGGGACGATAAGTGCCCCAACACCTGTCTCAATAGGGTACAGAGGAGAGCAAAGTAAAGTGCCCACTGCACAAGCCAGTGGATTTAGCACTGGATATTGGACAGGAGATAATTGGACCACGGGTGGTAAACCGTGGAAGGATCCTATGGAGGAAATAGGGACGCAGGATTTCCCTTTAGTGAACAGGAATTTGATCAATTGGCCTGGAAAAGAAAAATTGGAATCAAACCCATTCATGGATACCGTTCAAGAAAATGGGATGGAGAGGGCGTCTGACCCCTGGAATTCACCCACCCTACAGTTGGGATCTAGGAAGAAGTTCCCCAAAACATCCACAAGAATGACACCGGGAAGGGATACCCCAAAGTGGAGAGAGTGCTCTCCTACTTTGAGTGAAGAACTGGATAAGCAGAAATTGCTTGTAAGTGAGATTAGATGCAATCTCTCGAGCCTGGATAACACAGTCATACATATAGAAGGGAAAATAGACAATCTTTGTCAGCAAAATCAGAGAGATAATTTACAGATGAACAATCGAGTTGAAAATATGGCAAAAATGATTAGTGCTCAGGTGGAAAATGTTGCCAAAACGCTAAGCACTCGTTTAGAAGATGTGGCTAACACTGTGCAAACATTGGCTAACACAGTGGAAGAGGATCGGAAGAACAGGTCTGCTTTGAATGATCAAACTAGAACGGACATTGCCCCAGCCACTAATAGGAAATTAATATCTGAGGAAGTTTTCGCCCCACCCAGGACCACCTCTGGATATATTGAAGTGAATCCACAACACCAGGGCAATAGGCAATTATTGGAGAGTGCACCTCGGAAAGAGATACCCCCGTTACAGGAATGGGATGGCGATCATCCAGTAGAAAGGGTGGAAAACCCCTGGCCTTTGCGGAGGCAGACTAGATTTTACAGGGAAAGCCCATTTGAGGCGCAGGGCACCCAAAACTATGTGGAAGTCAGAGGAGATTTGGAGGGTGAAAGGGATGATCCCCATAAGGAAGATAGGTTCTCTGAGCATCGGAACTTGATGGCACGTAGTAAAGTTAAGCCCTCAAACAACTTAAGGAACTCGGAAAATAAGTTCGAATGGAAATCTCCTAAAAAGGATGAACACCAGCAAGAGCAATGTGAAGATATCAGGCATTGTAGGGATGACTTAAGATCTGAGTTAAGCCAAAATCCTGGAATTTCAGAGGAGACAAATAATGAATCTTCATCTGCTGTAACTCAAATGGCCCAGTTGGCTAAAACATGTATGGAATTTTGTAAGGAAATGGTTCAGAGTAAAAGCACTAATCAAACCAGGGTAAAAATTCGCCCAGAACCATATGACAGCAAAACACCATGGATGGATTATAGGACTTATTTTAATGCCTGTGTGGAGGCTAATGGATGGACTGCCCAGGAGCAAAATCAATTTTTAGTCACCAGTTTGAGGGGTTCAGCCCAGCAAATCTTGTTGGAAATGGATCCAGGATACACTTATGAAGATCTGGTGTCTGCCCTGGAGAAACGATTTGGACCAGGTGGGAAAGCTGACATTTTTGAAGCTCAATTGTCGAGTAGGACTCGGAAACCAAATGAGTCTCTAGCCAGTTTAGGACAAGATATCCGCCGCTTAACTGGCCTTGCCTACCCGGAGATGACAAAATCTGCACAGGATAGGCTTGCGCGAAGAAGTTTTGAGCTAGCCATTCCCCAGGAGGAAGTGCGAAGAGCAATACATTGGGGAAATGCACAGTCCCTCGATAAAGCTATTGAATTAGCTATTCGGGAAGAATCATACTTGGAATCTGAGAGGATGCGAAAAGGGATGAAGCAATTGCCCCGCTATAAGGATGGAGCAATTGCAGCGGTGGAAGAATCTCAAGATCAATCCCGAGACAGCAAGGAGTCTTTCTCGGAATTGGTTGAGATCATGAAGCATAGTTTTCAGGAAGGTCTCCAATCTATGAAGGAAGCCATCAAGGATCTTATTCAGACTAACAAACAAAAGGGGGAATTCCCTAAAAGGAATGTTGAATGTTACAGATGTCACAGGATGGGGCATTATTCGAGGGAGTGTTATGCCAATAAAACAGTGAATGGAGAACCCATATCAAAACGGCAGGAAACTGAAGTTACTGCCCCCATTCAATTTCTAACAGAGAACCAAGGGAAAATTGAATCAGGAGAGGGAGACAACCAAATTGTACGGAAGATAATTGCCAAGACAGAGATATGTGGCACAGACGTCAATTTTCTGGTAGATTCCGGAGCCATGAGAACTCTGTTGAGTCTAAGTTCATATCTGAGGATTCCTTATGAACGAAGACCTTGCTTGCGTCGGACTGAACGCATTTTAACCCAGGCTGATGGATCAAAACTCAAAACATATGGGAGTATAAAGTGTTGTTTACACTTGGATGGCCGAAATCTGCCAGTGGAGGCTGTAGTCGCAGATATTGATCAAGAAGGAATCATGGGATCTGAGTTTATGTCCCAACATGGAGCAAAAATTGATTATGGAGCACAAGCTATGTGTTTCATTCGTAGCCAAGGTACTCTTGCAGAGGAGTGAGAGAATATGGAGGAAAATGACATAGGTGACCAAGTTGTAGTTTTAGCGCCTGATAGTCTCTCAGATACATCAGATAGTGAATCAGATGACTCTGAAATATTTGTTGTACCAGAGACTCCGTTTAATAGCCCAGTACTGTCTAGGAAAGTTGCTGAAGTCTCCCCAGCAACTAAAGGAGACCATTGTTCCGATTATGGAACAAAGGAGAATATTCAAATTCAACCAAATACAGTTGTCATAACAGAGCAGACTACTGGTAGTACCGATGCAAACTTCCATGGTGTATTGGAAACTACAGAGTCTACCGATGTCACATCAGAGGAGTGCCCAGACTTGGCGAACAAAGTTCCTCCCCTAAGTGGAATTAGATGGAGTTCTAGATCATCTTGGGACTCGAAGGAGAACTACACTGGAAAGGACCGACAGAGGCAATTTGACAAAAATGAAAAATCATGTCCTCGACAAGGACAAATTGGAAACCGGGAGGAGGCATGGAGGAGACGAATTGGGCTCATTGAGGATGTAAAAACAAAGAGTGTTGAAATGGATCTATAGATCAGGGAAGGTCAAACATGGACTTCTAGTAGCTGTAATCAATTTTCATCTTTTTTTGTTGTTTTTTTTTGTTTTCGGTTCGGGACGAACCTACCCCCGGGAAGGGAGGAATGTGATGAAAATTGATTTTTGTGTTTTCGTTTCACCATTACCGGTTTTGATAAGAAATTCTGGAAATAAGGAAGTCAATATAATTATTCTTTCGAAATCGGAAAAACGAAGCCATTTTACAGGAATTTCAGTGGAATTGGTGAGTTTAGGCGAGTGGCGGATCAATTATTGGCATGTAATCTTTCATAGGAACTTTGATTTTTAATCATTTTCGAGTTAATTGATCACGTTTTTATTATTTTAGTGACATGACCATCCACGGAAATTTCATATTATCGCCCATTTGGGGTACCTCAGCGGCATACTAACCTAGTTTTTGGTGGTATTAACCAATCAGATTTATGCAGTCCAAAACGTCCGCGCGGGGCATATAAAAGGAATTTGACCAGTTTGTCAAGTTGTTGTGCGACAAAATATTAACGGATTTACAGACTGGAACAACCACGGGGTCGTAAGTAAGAATATTTTGTTGAGTAATTGACGAAAGATTGTCATCAAATATCATCACGGTTTGTCCATTTTTTAGCCTGGACATTTTGAACATTGTTTTAGAGATTCATATCGGATTGTATCTATTTCTATATTTGCTGAGATTGTGTGTGTATTTTTGTTCATTATTTTTACTCAACATTATATTGTTATTTGGGAGAGTTGCAACCAACTTTGCAACCCCATATCGGTGCAAGGAACATTTGCACCCATATCAACCACCTGGAATAGGTGTGAAGGATATTTGGGAGAGTTGCAACCAACTTTGCAACCCCATATCGGTGCAAGGAATATTTGCACCAATTGTAAAGGACATTTGGGAGAGTTGCACCCAACTTTGCAACCCCATACTCAACGGAAGGATATTTGGGAGAGTTGCACCCAATTTGCAACCCCATATCGGTGCAAGGAACATTTGCACCCATATCAACCACCTGGAATAGGTGTGAAGGATATTTGGGAGAGTTGCAACCAACTTTGCAACCCCATATCGGTGCAAGGAATATTTGCACCAATTGTAAAGGACATTTGGGAGAGTTGCACCCAACTTTGCAACCCCATACTCAACGGAAGGATATTTGGGAGAGTTGCACCCAATTTGCAACCCCATATAGGTGCAAGGGATATTTGCACCCATTATAACCACCTGAAGTACATTTGGGAGAGTTGCACCTAACTTGCAACCCCACATTGGTGCAAGGAATATTTGCACCAGGTGTGAAGGACTTGGGAGAGTTGCACCCAACTTTGCAACCCCATATAGGTGCAAGGGATATTTGCACCCATTATAACCACCTGAAGTACATTTGGGAGAGTTGCACTCAATCTTGCAACCCCATATCGGTGCAAGGAATATTTGCACCCGGTGTGAAGGACTTTTGGGAGAGTTGCACTCAATCTTGCAACCCCAGGAGATTTGGGAGAGTTGCACCCAATTTGCAACCCCATATCGGTGCAAGGGATATTTGCATCCAAAATAACCACCTTGAATAAGTGTGAAGGAATTTTGGGAGAGTTGCACTCAATCTTGCAACCCCAGGAGATTTGGGAGAGTTGCAACCAACTTGCAACCCCATATAGGTGCAAGGGATATTTGCACCCATTATAACCACCTGAAGTACATTTGGGAGAGTTGCACCTAATTTGCAACCCCATATTGGTGCAAGGAATATTTGCACCAGGTGTGAAGGACTATTGGGAGAGTTGCACTCAATCTTGCAACCCCAGGAGATTTGGGAGAGTTGCACCCAACTTGCAACCCCATATCGGTGCAAGGGATATTTGCACTTAAAATAATCAACGGAAGGATATTTGGGAGAGTTGCAAGTAATTGCGCATACCCCATATCAGTGCAAGGAATATTTGCACCCAATAGTAACTAATTGAAAGACATTTGGGAGAGTTGCAACCAACTGTGCAACCCCATATCGGTGCAAGGAATATTTGCACCAGGTGTGAAGGACATTTGGGAGAGTTGCACCCAATTTGCAACCCCATATTGGTGCAAGGGATATTTGCACCCCATAATAACCACAAGGGATAGGTGTGAAGGACTTTTGGGAGAGTTGCACTCAATCTTGCAACCCCAGGAGACTTGGGAGAGTTGCACCCAACTTGCAACCCCATATTGGTGCAAGGGGCATTTGTACCCATGATTGCAACCTGGACATAGGTGCAAAGTATAATAAGAGATATAAAGGACTTGCACCCTGGTTAAGGGACAGGGGCAAGGTGCACCTTGGTTGAGGAACAAGGGCACATAAAAGGACTTGCACCCTGGTTAAGGAACAGGGGCAAGATGCACCTTGGTTAAGGAACAAGGGCATATAGAGGAATTGCACCCTGGTTAGGAACAGGGGCACACAGAGACATTGCACCTATGATTAAGGATATTTGCACCCGGTTGCACCCATAGCGTACATTTGCACCCGATTGCACCCATAGTGGATATTTGCACCCGGTTGCACCTCGGATTAAGGATTTAAGGACATTTGCACCAGGTTGCACCCTATAAGGACATTTGCACCCGGTTGCACCTCGGATTAAGGATTTAAGGACATTTGCACCAGGTTGCACCCCATAAGGACATTTGCACCCGGTTGCAACTCGGATTAAGGATTTAAGGATACTTGCACCAGGCTGCACCCCAAAAGGACATTTGCACCCGGTAGCACCTCGGATTAAGGATTTAAGGATACTTGCACCAGGTTGCACCCCATAAGGACATTTGCACCTGATTGCAACTTGGATAAAGGATTTAAGGATACCTGCACCAGGTTTCACCCCATAAGGACATTTGCACCCGGTTGCACCTCGGATTAAGAATTAAAGCACATTTGCACCAGGTTGCATCTCATAAGGACATTTGCACCCGGTTGCACCTCGGATTAAGGATTTAAGGATACTTGCACCAGGTTGCACCCCATAAGGACATTTGCACCCGGTTGCACCTCGGATTAAGGATTTAAGGATACTTGCACCAGGTTGCACCCCATAAGGACATTTGCACCCGGTTGCACCTCGGATTAAGGATTTAAGGACATTTGCACCCGGTTGCACCTCGGATTAAGGATTTAAGGACGTTTGCACCTGATTGCAACTTGGATAATGGAATATAGAGGACTTGCACCCTGGTTAAGGAACAGGGGCAAGATGCACCTTGGTTAGGAACAAGGGCATATAAGGGAATTGCAAACTGGACATAGGTGCAAAGTTTAATAAGGGCATATAAAGGACTTGCACCCTGGTTAAGGGACAGGGGCAAGGTGCACCTTGGTTAAGGAACAAGGGCACATAAAGGACTTGCACCCTGGTTAAGGAACAGGGGCAAGATGCACCTTGATTAAGGAACAAGGGCATATAGAGGAGTTGCACCCTGGTTAGGAACAGGGGCACACAGAAACATTGCACCTATGATCAAGAGATATAAGGGCTTTTGCACCCATTGAGTAGGATCGTTGCACCCGATTGCAACTTGGATTCCGGATTTTAAGAATATTTGCACCAGGTTGTACATTAATAAACTTGATAAGTAGACAGTGGGGTCCCGTGGCCAGGAGCGCCATTTTATTTCAGGACAGACAACGGAATACAAAGACAAGAGCTGCATCCCACAATTGCTGAAGAAGACACAAACAAAGACATCTAATGTTATAGTGATTGTTTAATATGAGTTCATGATTATTTTATGTGGCGACTTTAGAGACATTCAAGTGATATCAACCTTTATCTTTTGCTGGAACTTATCAAAGTGATATCCTCTTTTGATCTTACTTTCTTATAGTAACTTTAGAGACCTTCAAGTAACATCACATGTATTTTTTCTGCCTTAAGGCATTAGTGATTATATAGCTTAGTGTAGTTTGAGTTCAACTTTGTACATAATTGTCTATTGTTTCTAGAGCATTGTTTGTGATTGTTTAGCTCATAAAGAGCAAATATATAACTTTATTTTTATTCTGTACTTGAATGTTCATTGTTGTATTGTATTGAGTTCCGGAGGGAACTTGTGTAGTGCAAACCCAGATTGCGTAATACTTTCTTTCCCCTTGCATTCCCTTGGAGTAACATCTCAGGCGACTGTAGCGAGCGGAGTCAACGCCGCTCCGTATAATCCCGCAATTAAGTAACACGCGGGAGAGTCCACCTTCCCCGCATTTTCCCCGCATTCCTGACCCACGGGGAAAACGTTACAATATCAATCAAAATATGACACAAGACAACGGATACTGTATTTCAGATCTATCCTTTTCTTCAATTAATTGAAATTCAGATTCCGTTGTCATTGATGATATAGAAGATGGTATATTGTGGCGATTTATGACCACAAAATCAGCGACAATAAGGTCCCATGAAATGAGAAGGAAGTGATTAAAGAGTTGAAGCAACTGTTACTTCCAAAATTTGTGACAACGGTATCTGACTTTACCGTTGTCAGGGTGTTCCAGTGTGAGTCTTGGATGGGACAGGAAGAAAACATATAGTTATTGAAATTTCAGAAAAGATTTGTCTGTTAAGGTTATTGTTTAATTGGAGATCTAAAATAACTTTACAATAAAGTTTACATTGTAAACTTCATGTGGCTAGAAAACATTTTGTTTCAAAGAATGCATTTGTTATTTGACAATGATTTCAAAGCATCACTCACAATCAGCTTAAATGATGATCTCACAGTGTCTAGTAAGATGAAAGCAATATCATATTGTTAATAATATCTACACCTAATAACATTTAGAAATACTTTACTGATTAAATAACTAAATATGCTTTTGGAGATATAGGAAGCAAAAACCAAAACCTAGAGATGAAAGATTATGCAATATTTGTAAACATATAGAGGATGAGTGTCATTTCCTTTTAACTTATACAAAGAATGATGAGCATAGACAATTATTTTATAGAAAGGCTCATGAAATTTAAAGTAACTTTGACTCCATAGTGAAAATGTATTTGTCAATCTTATTTCAAGCAAAAATATAACATTACAAAGACACATTGGAAAATTCATTTATCATTCACTTAAGAATTTATAGTCAGAATGTGTGTGTTTGTGCACCACACTGTAATGTAACCTTGTCCTTTCATCATGATGTATATTATCTAGAGATTTTTTTTTTGAACATATACATTTTTGTACTTTTGGTTTAGTTTAGTTTTTTTGTATACTAGTATAAAGTTTACGACATTAAAATATATCAATGTTATGTACATTTACAGGGTGGGCAAATAAAAATGGAACACTCATATGTATTCTATTTTAAAGAGTAGATATGAATCAAATGTCTAGAAAATTAGGGAGCGTAAAGTTTTAACATTACTGTTCATGTATGCAAAAGTTCAAATCAAACATAGCAAATTTTCATTACTTTTTTTAGCAAATATGACCCACTACCTCAAAAAATGGCTTTTGCATTTGCAGAATTTATGATAATTTCTATATTTCAAGGAACAATTCTTTGTTTCTCCTCATTTTTCTATCATTTTACTAATATATCGCCAAAATATCATTGTTATTTGTAGCCTACACAGTCTCCTTTATGTTTTAAGGAATAAAACTGTAACAACATTGTGTCTTTTTATTTAAGAAACTAAAATTTAATGGGCATCTTGTATGAATTGTTCCAAAAACCCCCGAGAATCAAGGTTTCTATGCAAAAATGGACCGACATTATGATGATAAGATGATTATGCATTGAATATTGAAACAAATTGCGGTTAGAATGACTCAAATGATTTTTAGATTGTAAAATCTGTTTTTCGTAAATTGCGAAGTCACTTATATAGCTTGCCCGTAGCCAGGTTTTACCAAAAGGGGGAGGGAGGTTGCCAATGAGGGGAGCTTTGTCACACTCTTCGCTAAAAATTCACGACAAGATATAAGAAGGTGTAGATTGATGTAAGGTTATGTACGTTAGTTGATAACATAATAAGTATGTTATCAAAGAGTAATAACATACTGTAAATAGGTATTTTTACAGCCTATTTGTTGTCCTAAATGATGTATTTTCAGATCATAATGAGGTTCAACATTGTAATACTTGCAGTTGTTTTGGCATTTGATGTGATCATTGTTGCCAATTCAGGTAAGCATTGTCAATTAATGACTGAACATAATGTAAACAATATTCCCAATATATCTATTTAGGATCTTATTTCAATTCATGCAAATCTTTTACAACCAGAACAACGGCAACACCAAAGCGTAGCGAATCCCATCGAACAGCCATGGATGGCATTTTTACAAACAAAGTATATAGCAAAAATGGCAGCCATTTTTCAAAATGGCCGCCTTCTACCAAAAGTTTTCATTAGACCATGTGCCATGCTTATAGTATTCACATACCAAATATGAACAAAATCGCTCTACTACTTTTCAAGTTATAGTAAAATACGTTAAAATGGCGGCCATTTTTCAAAATGGCCACCTTCTACCAAAAGTGCCATTAGACAAGTGTGCCGTGCTTATAGTATTCACATACCAAATATGAACAAAATCGCTTCACTACTTTTCGAGTTATAGTAAAATACGTTAAAATGGCGGCCATTTTTCAAAATTTTTTTTAAAATGGCCGCCTTCTACCAAAAGTGTCATAGGACAGTGTGTCATGCTTATAGTATTCAAATACCAAATATGAACAAAATCGCTCCACTACTTTTCGAGTTATAGTAAAATATGTTAAAATGGTGGCCATTTTTTCAAAATGGCGGCCATTTTTCAAAATGGCAGCCTTCTACCAAAAGTGTCTTTAAGCAGTGTGCAATGTTTATAGTATTCACATACCAAATATGAACAAAATCGCTCCACTACTTTTCAAGTTACAGCAAAAATCGTAAAATAACGAGTAAAGGCCGCCATTTTTCAAGATGGCTGCCATGTGCTTCTTTAATATCTACATTTCTAGCTTTATTAATGTCCTATATAATTTTTTTACATCTCAAACATATTGCTATTACAGTTTTACATATTGCACCTAAATTACTGTAAATTCGGCACTAAAATGGCCGCCATTTTGAAATGAGCGGCCATTTTGAAAATCGGCTTTCGAGCAGAACTTCTACCCCCATAGGGTATATGTGTACAAAATATGAACAAAATCGGGTCAACGGTATTTGAGTTATTGCCCGGACGGACGTACGTACGTACGGACGGACGGACGTACGTACGGACGGACGGATGGACGGACGGAGGCGTTCCCTATATCCCTCCGAACTTCGTTCGATGGGATAATAATCATGCAACCAAATATGGAAAATGAGTATTGGATCATTTTTGGTACTTTAAATAAGGATGAGTTTCCCTCTATTTCAGATTTCATTGGGACATGGTTAGGATCATTTGAGTGTAAAAATGTCACATACAATGTCAGGCTTGACATAATCAATGTAGAAACCCAAGGTGGTCAACTACAGGGAAAGTTAAACTATTGGAATGATGAGACTATGGTCAGTGGTTCACATGAAGTAAAAGGAATTTTCAGCAGGGACACAAACACATTCACATTGCTTGGAATTAAGTGGATCAAGCAACCAGCTCGTTAGAGAGCCTTTTTTGTGTTGGCTGATGGGAATTTTGACAAAAAAGAACAAACAATATCAACAGTATTTAAAGCTTATGATTTTTGCATGAGTGGGAGAACAACGCTTCATCGGCCAAAGAGTGAGTGTATTTTCTCTGACACTTGTAACATTGGGCTCAACCTTTTTGAAAAATCACATATCATAAGCTTTATTTGTATGTTTTACTAAATGTGTTGTTATCCATTTATTCAGAGAAGAATGAGCTTGTAACAACTTGTGCTGTATTGTTTCAATTAATATCTTTGCAGTTCCAACAACCACAACTCCAGTTGTAACAACTCCAACACCAAGTAAGTTAAATATGTATATGAACTCCAAATTTAGTCATAATATATACTAGGATAGCCAATATATAGTTTTCTTCAAAATAATGCCTTGGCCTAAAAAGCAAATCTGGTTCCTTAGCCAGAAAGTACTATCAATTTAAGATATTGCATTTAAAGTATATAATATTTATTACCCGAGATTGTGGGAGCTGCATATTTTGTATAATCTATAAAATTGCATTTTCCTATTCATTAATAGTACAATAATGTCATTTCAAAGGGCAATATAGTAAAAAATTGGACCGAGAGCCCAAGGTCCATCATTTCACTATATTGCCCGCAGAAATGACGTTATTAGTATTAGTATCACCGTTAATAACCAGGCCTGAAACAGCAAGAAAATCTTACGCACTGAACGATATCTAATTTCCCGGGGAAAATTGCCGGTCATTAATTGCATTCTTGACTGGCAATATTGACCACGACCATGACGTCACATATTGCTCAGGTCGATATAGTAAAATGAATGCCTTCTAAACTAGCACTAAAACCCCTAGAACTGGCCCGGCAAGGTGGTTATAATTTCAATTAATATATTTCCGATTTTCAGGGTCCATACCCAGTCCTTGGAATTGTTATGGGTGGGGTGACCCACATTACAAGACTTTTGATGGGTTTCGTTATGATTTCCAAGGTGACTGCAAATACAGTCTTGTCAGGGATATCAATGGATCATTTGAGGTAGCTGTTGAATATTGTATATCATATATTTATCATATCTGGGACATCCACTTGAAAATCATTTTATAGTTCTGACTATTGTTTCTCAAACTTAACTTATGCTCATTTTAAAGTTTAAAGAATTTCTGATCACAATGTCATATATCTATGTTCACTAATATCAAAAGACCTTATTTTTACAGCAAAAATTCGAGATTTTAGACCAAATTAGAGATTTTAAAATGAGCGTTTAGTACTGTTCAAATGCAGAAAGTATAGCCGATATATAACATGGACTCTCAAGTGGCTGTCAGGGTTATACACCCCACAGAGTTGTTGTCAGGGTGTCCGCCACAAAAACCAATGACTGCATAGTGTTCCTACATGATATGCTCTACACTGGGTTATGCTACATTTTTGGGTAACATGGGCTTTCACTTAGAAAATTAGGATTTGAGCAAGGATGTATTTACTTAAAGTCCCTGTCTAAAGTTTGAAAATATTTTTTCATCATATATTTACTATTTGTCAGGACTTAAAGTAATTTGGAATGGATGAAATGTTAGTTCAACCTACATATGAATAAGAAAAACTGAATCCCAAAGCACACTGGTACATATAAACATCGTTTTTACTGACCTTGGTTGTGTTTTGACTTCACAATTCAGCGTTTTCAACAGAAATAAATTTGCTCACACTTGCACATTGTTGGGGATTCCCTAGTCAAAGGTCATGTGACTAATAATCAGAACGAGGCTATGACCTGTGAGCTATTCCAATTGAGAGGTTAGGAGAATTTTTTCATATTCTAGGTTCCACTTATTTCTGACGGTTTTCTAAACAATCACTGAATCTCTTTCTTGCTAAAGAATAACTATTATATCAGGAACACATAATTAATAAAACATTATGTAATCACTATGTACAGAACACGAAAATTACTCTTTTCAAAAGTAGGTCACATTTTCTCCCAAGTTTTATATGCAATATTGCTCTGAACGAAATGCAAGAAAATGTGTAAACAAACATACTTTGGTGACGTCATCAACTTGAGTGCAAAATTCGAAGTGGACGATGTGAAATCAAATTCAATGTACCCACTTCAATATGAGAAATCTCCGCTATCCTTGAGTAATATGAGCTGAAGTTACCCCAGTAGCAAGGTAAGACATTGCTCTTCGTGTGATATTCAATAGATTTTGCTAAAAATGCCTTAAACGAAGGCCATATCACTTTAAAAAGTGATTTTAGAGATTTTTGAACAAAAAATATTTTTTGAAAAAAAAGTTGTGAGCATTTCATTTCTCAAATATTCAAATTTCAATATTTGAAATTTCTTTATCATCAAATATTTCTTAATGCATTTCAAAAAAGATTATCTTTTTAACACCAATGCAAAGATTGAACAAAAGACACACTATTTCAATAATAAAATGTCATATTTAATGGGCCACTTCAATGTTTTAGCTTATCAAAAAATTTTTGAAACATTAGTGATGTCACTAAGGTAACAAAAACTTTTTGAAAAAAATTGAATTTTTTTTTCGATGTCAATCTTTTCTAAATATGCTTCATAAAAAAACCAATGTTGATTGTCTAACCAGGTTAAAAGGAAGAATAAATTATGTTTTAGGTATCATTGTACCATTGGTTTCTATGAGAACTAAAATTTTGAAATGCATTTTTCTCAGAACCATTTTCATGCACTGATAAATTCATTTCTCGCTTGTTTATCAACCGATTTTCTTAATTTTTGGGGCAAAAAACATGGGAGGATGAATGCTATGCATTGGTATGAATTTTGGCTAATTAGAAGATATGAGTGACCTCTAAAAGTTGGTTTTAAATAAATTCACAAATTTTGGAACAAAAAGTCTATCAAAAACCACTTTTTGAAATTAAAAAAAAAAGTTTCACATATCACACTTTGATAACATTGGGTTAGACTACAATATAAACCAAAGTGGTTTAAACTTTACATGGGGCCTTTTACATGGGGACATGCAGTATTGACTTAGCATGGAGCTATCATCATATCCCTAAATCATCATAGATATTTATTTGGGTACGTTTTTGTCATCCTGTACTTTTTATATGTGTCACATAACTTTTTTTCAAGCATTCAACAGTGTTTTTATTACTTAAAACATTGCACTATGCAGCTTTTTAACTATTGCAGACATTTGCATCCTGTTGGAACCATCTTTTTGACATTTTCCAAATTCCATATTGTCTTGTTATCAAAGTCAATTTATATCATACTTAAAATGTAGTTACGTGGTAAAAAGTAAGAAAAATATATACAAAAATTTGTTTCTACAAGGCAACCTTGTGTAAACCCTTTTAAAAGAACAAAGCCCCTGTTACAATCAAAACGAAATATATTTTCTTAATAAGGGAAGTCAGTACTTTGAAACGGTTAAGATATATTCATTTTTTGTGGCGAAGTACCTGACAATGACACTTCTGTGACTATGGCACCTAGCTGTTTTCTCCCCAGGATGTTTTTCAAGAGGAATACAATAATATTATTTTCACTGGGTCATACAGTATTTGATGAAGTCTAAAGTTATTTATACAAAACAATATATCATTATTTTAATATCATATACCATTTTCAATTTAGATTGAAGTGAAGAATTTTCGTGCATTTCATTTCATCGCAAGCTCTGTGTCAGTCACAAAGTATGCAGATGTTTATATAGGCAATGATGTCATACGCCTTGGACCAGGAATAAATGTTAAGGTACTCTTTCATGACAATTCTATACCTGATAATCTAACCCACAAAGAAAACAATGTAAAATGAAATAATACCCAAATTCTTGACATTATCAGATTTTTAATATTTACCACCATTTTTATTTATCATAACAGGTTAACTCAACCAAAGTTACCCTGTTGCCCCACAATTCTGAATTTTACTCTATTGATGTTAGTGGATCAAGTATACAATTCAACTGCCCAGTGCTGTCTCTGAATGTAGTATTCAACTTTGGCATCAGTGTTTCACTTGGTGAACAATGGAGGAATAAGGTATCCTGTATTTGGCATAACTGTATGCAGTTTATTTACTTTGGCAAGTTTCACAGTTTCAGCAATACATATATGCCTCTTCTACGAGGATAATCAATTTTATTTATAATGGTCTGTTGAGAGGGATTCCTAAAATTACAATCAATACATGTACTTACGGATTGGAAAGAATCAATGGCAACAGTAAGAAAGGACAATCATAACATCTATGAATAATTAAAAGATAATGTTCCAAAAATAATTAAAACTTTTAACTATTGATTCATAATCATTAAGGTTGATGGACTCTGCAAGAATTTTGATGGTAATTTGACAAATGACCAATCAGATGCTTCAGGTACTGATATTTCTGGACAACGGAATAAGGGGACATTGCTAGGAAACAGTTATCAGGTGTTGGATCCTGAGGAACCAAAGTAAGAAAGAGTTGTTTGTGAAAATATATATTTTATAATTGTTTTGTTAAAAACTTATTCTAATGAGAAGCAAAACGCTGATATTGAATTGCAGATGTAAAAGTTCTTTGACTGAAGATCTTCCAGATACTTGTAAGAATGATATGGCAAAAAAAGAAGCCAAAGATGTATGTGAAAGTGTAGTTAATCCTACTGGTCCATTTGCAGAGTGTATCAAAAGGTAAGAACACATACTGTCTGTTTATGTCACATAGATTGAATGACATTTAAGAGTCAGAAAGTCTCAAATGCATTTTACATTGGTCAAAATGATTTTAATAATCTAATAATCTAATAATCCTATGTTTAAATGTGAACCATGATACCATGGTATACCATGGACTTGCAAGAAGCTCATGGGTCATTTTTTGTTCGTTTTTGACCATGGTATACCATGATTGAAGGTACAAGTCACCTTATTGACATATTTCTCCCCCTCTATCCCATCCCCCTCCATCCAGTTTTAATTACTTTTGATTGTTTTTTATGTAACATTTAGAAACTTCAGCAATGAAATTAATTTTGTCATGATAATGTCACTAGGCTAACAAGTATTTATTACAGGTCGTGTAGACCATTGTTGCTTGATTTATAAGCAAAAACATTGACTTTAGTATGTTGGTGATGTTACGCCTTTTTAATTAGATGTCAGATCTTAGAAGCATATCATTTAAATAAAATCCTAAAAGACCTAACATATTTTACCATACCAATTTTTCTTAAATAAAAAAAATCTTACAGATTTGTAGAATTTTCTCGCAGAAATTGCTTATCCAAAATGTTGTTACTTATGTTTTAATTGTAGATTGTCAAAAGAATTTCTCCAGGATTTTGTTGAAGATTGCATGGTAGATTACTGTGATAATCCTGAGAATGGATGTAATATTGTGTCCAAGTTTGCTGAAGAGACATGCACTCGAGAAGGTGTTGATATCCCAATATGGAGAGACGATTTTGGTTGTAGTAAGTCAAACAATTTATCCCATGATACTTGGGTGCATCAAAATTCTTTGCAATTTTGACTCCATCTCAAGTTTTACATTGAAATCTGTTTTGAAATTTGCCATAATTATAGATCATTTATCCATACATAATATGTCATGATAAGGTTGCTCATCTCTGATTGGTTAAAAAGATATGGTTGCTATGGTAATCGGAACCGAGGGAATTCGGTTCCATCTAGAATATGTATATTTTAAATTCTATTATATTCTATTATCATTATGATTTAGTCATCAAAATTGCAGGTTTGTGTGTCTTTTTATTCCTCTTTTCTCTTTCTTATTTTTCTGATGACATCACATAAGACTTATGGCATATGGATTTACATTGTGATTTAGATTGTGGGGAGGAATTTAGGCAGCCATTTTGTTTCAAGTTCTAAAGTAAATTTGCTCTTTTTCTGCTTTTCACAGCAGTGAGGAAGCCCTTGGCTGTTTTATCAGCAGGTGGATTCCAAGCTGTGTTGTTAGACTGGATGCACAGACATTGACAATAATTGACAGCCGGGGGCAATTATTTTGAATAATTTGATAGAGAACAACGTTATAATATGCAGAACATTGTTATTAGGAGACTAACTTTGTCTCGATTAATGTCAACAAGGTGTTGGCAAATTGATGCTGTTAATTCAGATTTTATGGCAATTCTGGCATAATAATAAATTTGCATGGAACCATAAGGTTACACCCTCGGTTGCTTTGACAACAATATTTTCTTAACAGATAAAGATCCAGTCTCCCAATTCTACAGGTATATATAAATTTTTGATCAACGTATGTGCTAAATATGAGGACTATAGTTATTACGGTCAACATTGCAAAACCTTTTGATGCACCCAAGTACTACTAATTCCCGGTGAATAAAGCCCGGGAATATTTTTGTATTGTATTGTTCCGTCCAATCCCGCTTATGAAATTTGTATTCACCTCCCAATACTGCTCATGGAAATGGTATTCACCTCCCAATACTGCTCATGGAAATGGTATTCACCTCCCAATACTGCTCATGGAAATGGTATTCACCTCCCAGGAATTTTTGATCAACAAAGCTTCCTATTTCGTTCAGTTGAGTCGATACAGCGTTCTACTTGTATAATGATGTTCTTATGTGAGAAATATATTTTCCAAACAAAGTTCAAAATAAAGATTTTGAAACATAATGAGAATGAAACTGTAAAAGCCTATTAAACGAATAGAAGGCGAATTTCAATTTCATCATCATGCTCTACAACAGTCAACGTCATAGAAATCTGAGCAATAAGTGAATGCCCTGATGTACTTGTATACCATATTGTTGGATTTTTTTATATTGATGTGTTTAAGTTTATGTTATACAATAACATTTTTATATTTCAAAATGTCATATTTTGTAGACTAAATAATATAGTCCTGTTTGTTTCATACAAAAATCAGATATGGATATTGAAGTAATGATTTTATGAAGAGAGCTATGAATATCATGGGATAAAAAGCTTATTTACTAGTCGGTATTCAGTATGGGTTTATTTTGAGGGACAATATGATATTTCCCGAGGGCCCATAATGAATCCTTCCCAGTAAATAACCTCTATGTATACCACATGAATTTTGTGCTTTAGACATTACTTTTGTTAAAACAAATAAACGTCTATGTTTATCAATCGTTTTTAATATTGTTGATCTTTTGTCCTTTATTGAATCTTGTGCTTTCACATTCATTGTAGAAATGGAATGTGCGGAAAATGAAGAATACTTGCCTAATGGTCCAGGGTGTGAAACAAAATGTTTAGAAAAGGAGCAGACATTTTGTAATACTCTTAACAGAGAAGGTTGTTTCTGCAAAACTGGATACATAAGATGTGAAGGAAAATGTGTTGATAATAAAGGTAAGCTGTGAATACACTAAAATCAATTTAATTCTAAATATCACAGAAGGTCATCGGTGATATTAGTCAAACCAAGAAAAATTGCAGAAATAAACAGCAATGAATTCTACCTATGATCCTCTCGAGTTGAAACACAACTCTATAATCATTTTTAGATATTATTGTGAAACTATAAATCAAACTTTGTGAATAATTATATATACATTTATATATATGCACCTACCTGTTTATTTTCAAGTGATTCAAGTAAAAAGAATAGCTCACTCATGCAAGCTAATAAAATAGTTTTTTTTCTCATTTATTTTAGAGTTCCGTGGGTCATGGTTAGGATCATTTGACTGTAACAATGTCACATACAATGTCAGAGTGGACATAACTAATGTTGGAGGCAGTGGTGATGCACCAGAAGGAGTATTACATTATTGGAACACTGATGCAATGATTGATGGTTCACATGAACTAAAAGGGGTTTTAAGCAGAAACACATTCACAATGCTTGGATTTAATTGGATTAGGAGACCAACTGGTCAGAAAGCCTTTTTTGTATTATCACAAGGGGAGTTCAATGATGAAGAGCAAACATTTTCAGCTGAATTTCAATCGTATAACCTTTGCATCAGTGAGAGAACAACTCTTTATCGAGGAAAGAGTAAATAACATTTTAACACTCTATTTCAATAAATACCTATTTTAGATTTTGGAAATGTAAATATTTTAAAATGCTTATATTAGTATCTGTTTAAACCAATAGTGGTGATTTTAAAACTGTTACAGACACCTACGCTGAGCACAGGTTGTCAAAACAGTGGATATAACAATATGTCACCACTTCTTGGTGGTGAAATAATAATGAAAAATAAATAACATGAAAACACAAACATGAAATCTGATATGAGGGCCATAAAACTCAAGTGAAATTTGATATTTGAGTAAATAAATTGGCTTTTTAGTAGTACAAGGCCTGAGACCACTACTTGTATATTTGTGTTATTAAATTTCAAAATAGGTAGGGTGAAGAATATCAAGGTTGTTTGATCTTGTCCCAAAAAGTAATCTATCTGTAATATTTGGTCTTTTCTACTGTTCAGAATTCCTTAGTAAATTAGCTTTCTTATGACAATATAATCATACATAATAATTGGAATTAAAACAGTATTTTACCTTTAGTATATCCTCCAACACCCGTCTCTGTAAATCAGCATTATGTATTCTTATAGAGCCTCCTCCCACCTCACTGCCATTCAACACCAAGTCATAATGTAGACTTCTAGCCTGAAAGTATACATGCATTGAGTGTTTTTCTTAAACATTCTCTCTACAAAAGCCCTTCACTGCCATTCAACACAAAGTCATAATATGTAGACTTCGAAACTAAAAATATATATGCATTGAGTCTTTTTCTTCAACCTTCTTTCTACAAAACCTCATCACTGCCATTCAACACCAAGTCATAATGTAGACTTCTAGCCTGAAAGTATACATGCATTGAGTGTTTTTCTTAAACATTCTCTCTACAAAAGCCCTTCACTACCATTCAACACCAAGTCATAATATGTAGACTTCCAACCTGAAAGTATATACAGGGTGTCCGGAAAGTAAAGTTTTTAGTGCAATTGTTTTGTTCCTTTCTACCAATTCTTGAGAATGAAATAAAATGTCTTTCCGAACCTTGTTGGAACAAAATAGCATATACATCATTTTCTTAGACCTCTCAATATTATAGTTATACAAAGGAAATTTTGGTTGATTTAACAAAAAGCATTCAAAAAACCCCCAAAATAGATTAAAATTATGTTATACCTTTTATTTCATTAACAAGATACTTTTTTAAAATCAACCAAACTTTCCTTTTTACAATTACAATATTGAGAGACCTAAACACGTTGTGTTTATGTCATTTTGTTCCAATGAGGTTCGGATAGATGTTTCATTTCATTCTGAACATATGATACCAAGAATGAAAGAAGTATATATATGAAAAGTATATATATGTATATTTCAAATTATAATGTTACCATCCAAAAGTTGACCATTTAATTGACGATGTTTTAAATTTTCAGAATGTTTTGATGACTGGTTTAAGAGAAACGCGTGTTCAAAAAGTTCACCATATCGATACCACTCCTTTCCAGTATTTTGTTGAAATTGATTTATAAAGATACACATAAGGAGTCCATAATCCCCTCCGAAAACATGTGCATATTTACAGTATAATTATATAATTATAAATATTGGTATTTTTTTGATTAATATGCTCCAAAGGATCATAAATTTTTGAAGCACAAATCTTTTATGCGTACATGCATGTATCATCATATAAAATTAATAGCCAGTATAGCATTTCAAAATCTTGAATTTAATTTGAGGCAATTCTAATAGCACTATTTTAGAATAATCAATTCTAATGTAAATGAGAACCTTATAACCTTGCTACAAAGAAGCTATAATCATTAAGTGTGACCCTAATGTCATTATCCAATGACGTTGCAATGTACTAAATGGACATCCTTTGAATCTTAGAATAACAAGAAAAATATTATTTTAATAAAAAACAAATACAATGTATTTTAATTGCATTATCAAATTACAAATTATCAATTAATGGCTATGAAATGTCAATATTGTTTCACTGTATATCTAATGGAAGGTACAACAGTGAAGGAATTCAAAGAAGAAGAATAGCCTTGAAACAGTAATGCTACATCACCATTTTCCCCTTTCAGGTTTGAAAAAGTTACAATACCTTTGTTATTGTTTAGCACTTTTGAGATTGGTTTGACATTAGTAAATACTGATCAAAGAAACACAATTGTATCAAAGGACACCGCTTCTCCAAACTTAAGAATCTGTATTATAACCCTTTAGTGATGATGCTAACAATTATCACACAATACCCTCCAATGCTTTGGCTTAGGCCCTGTTTATGCTGTTTATTAATATTGTTTGAATAAAGGAACCGTAAAAACTAAAAACTAACCCTCCATTAGTGTCACATAATTGGTTTATTTGAAAGATTACAATTTGGGCATTAGCCAGCAACAATGATATTTAAAAAGCACTTTTCAAATCTAAAGATGCATCACTATTGTGATCATGTATTGTAGGTATTTTATTCATTTTGTTTACCAATAACTCCATTGTGTGACTTATCTATATTATTATATCTTTTATTGACAATTTATATCAGTAACATGATACATTAGTCACTAAAACACTACAAACTACTACTACAACTATTCTAACTACAAATAATAATTATTATACAGTGTGATGCACACTATTAAACATATACACTTAAATTTTGAATCCATGATATATAAATTTTCCAATGTATAATTGAACATTCAAGTGTTCAGTAGCCATTAACCTTTTAAAAATATCTGGGTCATCACAATCAAAACTTGGAATAATTTCTTTTAATTTCGAAAACAAACATTCTCTTAGAGTTACATATTTTTTACATCTTGTGAGAAAGTGTTCTTCGTCTTCAATAGAATTACATGTTGAACATTTTCGCTCATTTAGAGGTTTAGGGGCAGGTTTACAATGCCTCCCAGTCTCAATATGCAACTGGTGTGAACTTAGTCTAAATCTTGCAATACAATGCCTATACTTTCTATTGTCTAACTTTAAATATGATTCACATTCAAATTTAGTTTTATATTTACAATATGTTCTAAGTATAGGTGCACACAAAATAGCATTTTGCCAATCGGCACGATACTGTCTCATCAAAGTGCTATTTACATCCTTTAAAAATATTTTCTCATCAGGTATTTCCTGATTGTCCCAGTATTCTAACATGTCACATTTTCAAGTATTTTAAAAACTCTGGATGCCCATGAGGGAAACCCAAGATTGTGTAACTCAAGCTCATATTTATATGTTTCAGATAATATATTACTTGGGCATAGTCTCAGGAGCCTAATCCAATATTTTAATAGTTGTACTTCAAATTTTATATACAATGGATAACGGCCTAAATCATATTACATATTTATATTGTAACTTAATAATCCATGTAACCATGAGACACAAATACCATTTTTAAAGACACATTATAAGTACCTGTTTTTCTGTTATAATGGTACCTTCAAGTACAAAGATTGCAAATACAAAGAACAGAACCTAACACAGTTACAAAATTAAACAGCATCCAATATCCCAGCCTCACATCACAATACAAGGAAATTGTGTCACATGACCAGTTTTGGTTTTCCCACCAGCTTTACCCCAAACTTTTTTTAATAAAAAGGACACCACTAAAGCATCCAACAAGACACAATCCTGAACATAATTTCTTTCTTATTTTGGACATAATGGATACAGAACAGATTTAACCTAGCCGAGGGGGTATTATTTCTATGACAGCTTGACATTTCCCACATATTCAAGTCCCTGTTTTTCACATTTGTACACATTTTTTATTATCTAAATATTTAGTTTCTTGGCAGAAGATATTAAAACACATTACTTTTTTTCTTGAATTTCTTTTAAAAAACATGATGAATCTAAATGACTACTCTAGTAAAGTCAAGATGATACTTTTCATCTGAGAAAATGTAAATAAATTCAGGCAAGCAGTTACAGATCAAAGAAATTTGTGTTTGAATATATTCTGGAAAGATGAAAGGAAAAATTTACTAATCGATAGTTCCCAGGAAATATATTCTACTAACAAAAAGTACAAAGTCTCATTTAATGAAATCATTCATGTCATAATTGACTCAGACAAACTTAACTAATTCATAATCACTTAATATTGAAGAGACTAATTATGGAGCACCCACTATTTAGAACCTTAAGGATTCTAATTAGTTGCTTTGTATTGTTAATTTTTGCAACACTGGGGTTTTCCCAGGAAGGAGTTTTACTAGAAGAGGAAAACTGTGGAGCTGTCATAGGACCGAATGAAGAACCTTTCACAATTCCATATTTGAGGGAAACAGGGAAGACCAACATCATTGCTTTCCAGGTAATCTTAACAATCCTATCAAATTATTCATAAAGACTAGATCTTAAAATTGCAATATATAATACTATTCTTAAACAGAGCATATCAGCATATAAAATTTGAACCAAATCTATCCCCAGGAATTTGAGTCATCAAAAATTATGTTTAAAATGGTGGCTATTTTGAAGTCCAGCTGCCATCTTGAAAATTTCTTCTTGAGCAGAGATCAATTATCAGCATACAAAATTTGAACCATATCCGTCCACTGGTATTTGAGTTATCAAAGATTACATTTTTTTAATGAAAAACGATGGCAATTTCGAAATTCAACTGCCATCTTGAAAATTTATTCTTGAACAGAGCTCTTTTGTCCCTTGGTAGCAGCATATGAAATCTGAACCAACCCAGCCTTTCAGTAGGTGATGTAGGTTCGAACCTAAAGCGAACCTAAAAGTGAATCCCACAATTTGATGGCTACCTAAACGAACCTACTTCATGTAGGTTCGCTTTAGGTTCGAACCTAAAACTACCTAAAGCACTTTAAAAAAATCAGAAACTTGTAGGTAGTTTTAGGTTCGAACCTAAGGCGAACCTAAAAATGTTATACTTTTTCAGGATTTACCTAAACCGAACCAAAAAATCTTAGAAATTATCTAGAGTTACCTAAAACTACCTAAAACACTTAAAAAATCGAAAAGTTGTAGGTAGTTTTAGGTTCGAACCCAAAGCGAACCTAAAAAACATAGTCATTCTTCAAGAGTTACCTAAAGCGAACCTAAAAATCTTAAATCTACCTAAAACACTTCAAACTTGTAGGTAGTTTTAGGTTCGAACCCAAAGCTACCTAAAGCTACCTAAAGCAAACCTACAAAACAGAAGTTCTATCACAGCCACTAGGGGCGCTGATAGCAGGAAGTATCAATGCATTGTGGGTATAATATTCAAACTAAAATCAGTTAGACAGGAAATTTGGAAATAGCCAGGAAAATGGGGAAATATGCTGAAATGACCATCACATCAGTGCTCATTTACAAAATACATGTAAGTAAGTGGACAAATGATCAATCAATATATTATTTTAACCTCTTGAATACCCAAAATGACGGATATATCTGTCACAGAATTTTTCACTAAAACTGCTCTAACTTTGGCAATATTTATCCAATCTTCACAAATGATGTTTTAAAATGAGGGTCTATGTTTACTATTCTTATGAAATCAAACATCAACTGTTGTGTTTTTAGATGTAAATATCAAAATAACTGGCAAAAAATAAACAATACTCTGGGTTCAAACCCTTTTTAGAGGCTGGTATTCAAGAGGTTAAGTGTTATAAAAGCATGCAATTATAAAATAGGAGGAATTTTAAATAAATGTACCTGAGTGAGAAACTAAGCATCAAAATGTGTGAGAAATAAATAAACAGTTGACATATAGCCTATACAGTTCACAAGTTTGTAGGGTCCAGACACCCGGCTACCTCCATAGGCCAGCTTAGGACCATCATTGTAAATAAATGTACTTGCGTGAGAATATATGCATAAAAATGTGTGAGAAATATATAAACAGTTCAAATCAACAAATCAAGTCATCCAGCTGCTGGGTGGTCTAAAGCCAACCCAGCCCTTGGAAGTATTTACCTAATGTGAACCTACGTAGGTTCGCTTTAGGTAGTTTTAGGTTCACTTTAGGCGATGTTCAAATATGCTAATTAGATTCAGGTTCGCTTTAGGTGACCACCTAAAGTGAACCTATAATTACCTAGAGCGAACCTATAATTACCTAAAGCGAACCTACCTAGGTTCGCTTTAGGTAGTTAAGGTAGTTATAGGTAGTTATAGGTTCGCTTTAGGTGATCACCTAAAGTAAACCTAGACCTAATTAGCATATTTGAACATCGCCTAAAGCGAACCTACCAATGGAGTTTTTATATGGGGAACTACCTAAAGCGAACCTAGAAATCCTAGTTAAATATATCACCTAAAGCGAACCTACTGAAAGGCTGGGAAATCTGTCAACTGGTATTTAAATTATCAAAGATTATGTTTTTGTCCGCAAAATGGTATCTATTTTATCTAAATCTAAATATTTAGATTTTAAGTCAAGACACAATACTTTAGTGATCAAACTGTTAGGTCAAGGTTATAATTCTATAAAGCTTAAGAAATTCTTTCTGGGCTTTGCTGAAAAATACAAATCATTAATTTCGAAGTTTCAAGTTTTACCACTTGAGATGCTGAAGGATGTGGGAATTGTTTAAGACATTGGCAATGAACTCACAATATTTTCACTTGGCACCTTTTGAGGTGGATCCCGGCTATGGCATTAATAGTTTTCTCCTGATGACCATTGTGAATTATTGTGTTTTATGGATTATGGCGACGGCTTTTGTGAATGGATGTTGACCCTTTGAAACGCCTATGGACTTGGAGACTGGATTTTATCTATCCCACATCATTTGGGACTGAATTCTCTATCTTGTATGAGTACTTGTATCTACAACAATTTTTGAGGTTATGAGTATTGGCTATCAATTGGCTATCAATTTCTAATTTTTTCTTTAACATGTATTGTAATGACTTTAGTATGAATGAAATGTCCCTTGGTCTTCTGGTCTTGGATTGTGATATTGATTCTTGAATGGTGGGGGAAAGGGGGTATTAGACATTCTTTCTTTCCACGTTAGATCATGGTTTTGGGCTATATGGGGTTTGTTTTTCTTGACTGGTATACACTTAGAGTTTGCTTTTTCTTGCTAAGTTCCATTACAAGTTTTGGTCCTTTCCCTTTGGCACTAGTGCTTATATATTGAATATCAGCGGAATAAAAAGGCATAAAAGGCTTCATCTAAGAACCCCTTTCTCGGAGCCAATTGAAGTCTTATTGTGGTTTATAAAATGTGGGAATAAAAATTATCAAAATGTACCCTCTTGTTTCCAGAATTCATTCTCAAACAGATTTACTGATCTCTAGGCATCAAGCGTATAAAGTTTGAACCAAATTCTTTCACTGGGATTTTGAGTTATCATAGATTATGTTTTTTATAAAAAAAATGGTGGCCATTTTGAAATTCAGCCGACATTTTGAAATTTTTTTTCAAATAGAGCTACTGTGTCTGTAGGCATCAGCATATAAAGTTTGAACCAAATCCGTTCACTGGTATTTGAGTTATGAAAGATTGCATTTTTTATGAAGATGGTGGCCATTTTGAAATTCAGCAGCCATCTTGAAAAATTGTTCTCCAACAGAGCAACTGTGTCCAAAGGCATCAGCATATAAAATTTGTATCAACTGTTCACTGTATTTGAGATACCAAAGATTATGTTTTTTTTACGAAAAATGGTGGCTTAATTACAAAATTAGTCATATTTGAGTCATCAAAGATTATATCTGTTACGAAAAAATGGCGGCCATTTTAAATTGAGTGGTCATATTGAAAATTCCTTCTTGAGCAGAGATCCTATCCTCAAGGGGTACCTTCCTGTAAAACTTTTATTTGAGTTATCGTCCGAACAGATGGACAGACAAAAGGAGGATGGACAGCTTTCCTATATCCCTCTCGAACTTTGTTCAGTGGGATAAAAAGGCAATTGGGATGTCAGAGGGTTATAACAATGCACTTATGGCATAACAAAAAGTGTTTGCACTGGTAGTATGCAACTGAGCATAATCAGCCACAAGGATGACAAAACCCAATATTCAAGACTATGACCTAACACACAGAGAAACAATGACTGAACCCTGTTTAAAATATAGTATGCTGAAGATCATTTTCTATTTTTTCTTCAACATGTATTGAAATGGTCTTCAGTATGATTGAAATGTCCCATGGTACCAGAAGTACTCGTTGCCATAAGTTGCGCCCTCAAAACCCGGGTTTGCTGTCATCCAAATCCGCCTTTGCAAAAATGAGAACGGTTCATAATTAGTCTTTCGTGTTATTTTCGGGAGTTTTCAAACCTGGATTTAATTGCTTTTATTAGAAGGGTTCCTCGTTATCAATTGTAACATCGTAAGATTTTGACCCAGACTGACACAACAGAAATTGTCAACACTGGAGAATAGGTAACACTACACTGGTAATAGCTCGGAATTGTATTTAAATCAAATATAATCCATATTTATGAATAAAAATAAATGTGTTTCAAGTTCCTCATCTCTACTGGTCAATTTTTCCTTGCTTTAGTAGCCGTTGTACTGATATATTATCTTTGGAACGAACGAATATAAGGGGTCTTCTAGCTTTGCACATTTTAGACCAATCGAAATACATACCTTATTCTAATATGTTTAACGTCTTGTTAGATACAAAATAACATGTATAAAATTCTAATAGAACGAACTTTTATATTTCGTGGCCTTATTAAACACTTATTTCGTTTGGAATGGCCTTAAACCCTGGTCCGCGAAACACACATTTAGATAAGGGATTGGCGCACCCGGGTCTGACTGTAAACCTCCTGTTCACTGTCGTATGAATTATTAATGTAGTTTCGCATAGTTGTCAACAGAAACAAACAGTGAACCCTGCTTTCCCAAACCCGGGTTTCCAGGATTCGCCTCGCATGCCTTCGACTCTTTCTCCATGGTACTGCGGTCTTAGATTGTGATAATTGTTCCTGAACGGTGGGGAAGGGAGAGTATTTGAAATTCATTCTCAGCGCTTTAGATCATGGTTTAGGATATTTTGGGTTTGTTTTCATAATGCCTCGTAGTTCTCCTAATTGGTTCATTTTCTTGCTCTGTTTTGTAACACTTTTAGTTTTTGCCCTTTGGATATTGGTACAAACATATTTGTGCTAGCCTTCCTAGGTTTAGTCATGGGCTTTCAAGAGAAGCCCTTGGTTAAGCAAATGATAATATCATTTATAGGGGTTTGTATTGTTTAATTCTCCATTCTATTGCAATACAGGTTGCTGGTGAAGTAATCAGACTATATAACATTGATGAGGATAAAAGAGCAGTTCGTTACAACTTACAGAACTTCAGAAAGGAAGAATCACCACAAAATGAGCCAGACCTGATTAACTATTACATGAAGGTATTTGAGTCAATTTATAAATCAAATATTTCAAGGTTTAAATAAAGTCATTTAAATGTATTCAGCATACACTTCTATGACTGGCATGAAATATTCAGGGGTACATTTTTGAAAGATAAATGAAGAGTCATTTGAACTGACACAATCATGATTTCCATACTTATAACAATGGATTTAAGAATAGTTGAATTTAAAATTGGTACAGAAAACTTGGTTGAGAAATTAGAAGATGAATAAGAATATTATAATTGTAATAAAAAAATCTTGTATATCGATGAAAAAAAAGAATCAATATTTCACAAAACAAAGACAAAATGGCTTTTGACTTCAATCCCAAACAATACTGTTTTTCCAAAACATTTGATATTTGGACAAGTTCTCAAATATTTTATATTTATCAATTTCCTAATAAGCATTCTCATTGCTATTGGTATTTTTCAGATAAAACTAAGACACAAAACGTATGTCCATATCAAGGTTTCACAATATTTACCAGGTACTGGCAAACCTGAGAGTCCATTTTTACGCTGGGTCGTGAAAGGGTTTAAGAGACGTGACTGTATATGTGGTAACACAAGAGACTGCAAAATACCAAGGGGAGCAATCAAATCTGACAAAAATGACTGGTGAAATACATGTTGCTAAAACTTTAATGTCTAAATGTAAACAACAGAATAGTATGTCTCAGGACATTTTTCAGTTGCAAGGAGCAAATAATCAAAGGACTATAAACATTAGAAATATACTTTTTCTTTGAAGAATGAACATTTCACTAAGCTTTTTTACGTGCTTACTTTCGAATTAACTCAAGTATATTATATTTACTTTTGCTCTTCTTTTTGTATAAATTCATATAGAACATAAGATCGACATGGTATCGACGTTATAATTATTATTCAATTACTTTGTTATTGTATTTGGAATTTTAGAGGCACAAAACTATAATTACTTTGTAACAGTACCATTTATTGCACACATAGAGACCTGGGTTTGTTTGTTTGAGAATAAATGTTTGCAAGATAATGTGTAATATAAAATACATGTATGTGTACACAAGATATAAAAATTAAACAGGAACTATAATTTTTAGATGACAACTAAATTTATATCTTATATATTCATACTATTTTGCAAACAATCAAATAAACTATCAATTTTAACATGGGCTTTCTTGAAAGCTCATGATTTTACGAAAACAATGAATAAATTAACCAATATAAAATACTGACACTCACCTTATGCTGAAAAGTTATTTATTATTGTAATTAAGTTCAATTTTCTGACCAGTGACATATCAATTTTATAGATCTTATGTGGACTTAATAAACTTTTGATGCTTATGGTTTGTTATTTTTATTGATAAAGCACTTTAATAACAACTCTCACATATCATCTTTACTTGAACAGAGATATTTTTCAACATATTGAAACTCTTCCCAAAAGATTTTTTGGATATGTAACAGATGTACATGTTTTTCATTATAGAAAGTAGAAAACAGCAAATCAACGGAGTAGCAAACCCCTGAACAAAACATATTTTGATAACTAGAGGCCAGTTTCTTCCTGAACGGAACTTCTTTGTCCATCAAGCATCAGCCTATTTCGATGATAATATCTTTATGAAAAATATCAGCCATTTTGAAATGCAGCTGTCATCTCGAAAAATTTCTTCTCAAATCAAAATCAAATCTGTCCATAAGTATTAGATTTATCAAAATTATTTTATGAAAAAATGGTGGCCATTTTGAAATTAAGATGCCATCTTAAATATTCTTACTCAAGCAGAGCTCCTTTCTCACAGGCATCGGGATGTCAAATTTCAATTAAATCTGTCAACTGATATTTGAGTTATCAAAAGATTACAAATTGGTGGCCATTGAAAATCTCTTCTTGGGCAAAGCTCCTTTGTCCCTAGGCATTAGCAAATTGAATTTGAACCAAATCTGTCAACTACTATTTGATTTATCAGATAATTTTTTTTATGAAAAAATGGCAGCCATTTTGAATTGAGTGACCCTATTGAAAATTCCTTCTGGAGCAGATGTCCTATACCTATAAGGCATATGCTTATTAAATTTGAATGAAATCCATTTACTGTTATTTGAGTTGTCAGACAAACAAATGGACTAACAGATGTCTTCTCTATATCTTCTTAATAACACTGAACGAGACAACAGTATATATCGTAAATTATATGACAAAAGAGATGAGTTTAATTTTGACATTGTTAATTTTCCATATTTGGATAGCAATATTCCACTAAACCCAGCATATGGGGTTTATGTATCCCAGCTTATTAGATATAGCAGGGCGTGTGTTCAAAATATCTAGATTTCAAATCAAGACACCATATTTTGTAAAAAAATTAAGAAACCCTTTCTGGGCTTTGCTAAAAAATACAAGTCATTAATTTTGAAATTTCAAATTTTACCACTTGAGATGCTGAAGGATGTAGGAATGGTATAACACTTGGCACCTTTTGAGGTGGATCCTGGCTATGGCATTAATGGTTGAGAAATAGGGATCGAAACCAGCCATAGTTTTCTCCTGATGACCCTTGTGAATAGTTGTGTTTTATGGATTATGATGATGGCTTTGCGAACGAATGTTGACCATTTGAATTGCCTATGGACTTCGAGACTGGATTTTATCTATCCCACATCATTTGAGACTGAATACTCTTTTATGAGTACTAGTATCTACAAATATGTTTGATGTTATGAGTATTGGCTATCAATTTTTCCATTTTTTCTTCAACATGTATTGTAATGACTTCAGTATGAATGAAATGTCCCTTGGTGTTCTGGTCCAGGATTGTGATATTGGTTCTCGATTGGAGGGGGGAGGGGGATGTTAGACATTGTTTCTTTTCACGTTAGATCATGGTTTTGGGACATATAGGGTCCACTTTTCTTATGACAGATTTACACTTACAGTTTGCTTTTCTTGTTGGGTTTCCTTAAAGTTTTTAGTCGCCCTTCCCTTTTGGAATTTGTGCTTATATATTCATACAAACTTCATTCAGTGGGATAATAAATCCATACTCTGACATATGCTTTTATGCATTAAAATTTAAACTTCAGACCAGTAACATCACTCTTTTAAGAAATCACTTGAAGCAAGTCATAAATTACTTCTTTTTACTTCATTGAAGTAATACAGTCATCTGTTAAATAAGTACATTGGAATAATTGCTAGAAAATGTAATTGGGATAATAAAAGTTATTATTTTAATTATGCCAATGAAATAAAATCCCAGCTCAAAATCAAGGCTTATACCAGGTGTAATTTCTTTCTCCAAAAACCTAGGGCTCCTCTAGGGCTCCTCTAAGTTTTTCCCAAAACACATTTACATAAGGTGCTGGCATTAAAATTGTTCTCAAAATGGCTACCAAAAATGTTCGCAGAATGCGAGAAAATAATTTTCATACCAAAAAGCATCCTTAACAATTTCAAATTCATCCATCAAACAGTTTGGCTAAACTTTGTAGACAAGATTTAATAAAATGGAAAGTCCAAATGGGCAGAAAGATTTGAGGATGGAACATCAAAAACGTCTGCCTTAAAATTTACCCATAATGCCCAAAATTAATTAAATGTGAAATTCTATACAGAGAATCATTCCTACAAATTTAAGATCAATCCATTCGATGGTTTGTCTTGAAATACATAAACAGACTTCTCAGACAATGTTTCAGAAATAATAATCTAACTGGACCTTCTTAAATAACCTTTTTAGATAAGCTGTAAAATGTTGGAAATCTTTTCAAAATGTACAAAGTCTACAAAGTCCATTTTTAATTTAATTTTATTTTATTTTCTGAGAGAAGTCAAAATGTCCAAATTCATTATATTGAAAAAAGAGAACTCAGGCTTTTTCTGAAATAAAGTTGGAAGTGTTGGACTTTAGTGTCATCCCTGCTTCATTGTCATTCCCTTATAAGAATATTTATGTATTTATGTTATTTTATCAAAGAAGTGTATTTTTATGAATAATAATCTTGCATATTATCCATGAATTATTGCAGAAAGCAAAGAAATATTCTTACATTAGCAAATAATAAAATGAAACTTACATGTGACCTTCTGTAGGCGAGGGGGTGATAACTTTGACTTTGATAACCAATGAAAAACATATATATAAGTGCAAGTGCAACAAATACAAATGACAATATTCACTAACAATATATGTGCACTTTTACGAAAACATATTACCTTGTTACGAAAATAAATTACACAATTAAAAAATAAAATGCCAAGGACAGTACACTGTACTTATTCATTGACAAATTCAGTTGGTAGATATTAAACTAATATATTTGCAGAAACAAGGATAATGATACATCATGAATTCAAATTTATTTGTATATGGATATACAATGTGTCACTTACAAATGCTTTTAAGGACTTTTGAATGTATTGCAGAATAAAGCACATACATAGTCACATACGTTTTAACAAAACAAATTAGTTTAATGAAAAATACAGAAAATACAAAAAATGAATAAAAATACTCAAGTTACGAACATAAATGTGCATTTAACAAATATAGAAGCTCAATTTATGAATACATGTAGCACAATACGAATAATGAAGCAGGAAATATTCCATATTGTTCTGAAATATAAGCGTGTCATTCAATGATACTTTAATCTTAAATTTAAAAGTATATACTGTAGATTGGGTCAATTTGGTGCAACTTAATTTGGCGATTTTGTCATTTTTGCATATTGGCAGCTATTTAATTTGGCAGATACTACGCTTGGACATTGCTCTGAAGTTCCATATACACTGGAGTAAAATACAAATTATTACATCTTTTTCTTTAATTCAACTACTGTATCTTGCTATGTTATCTATTATTGAAAGAATTCCCCGTGGAAATGCTCAATCATATTGACGATTGTTCAGGTTATCCTTTTTAGATTTTGTAAAAAATAAACTGGAAGTGACTTAAAAACATTGGACGAAGTTCCCTAGAAAATTCCCAGGGATCTTTTCTTAGTTTTGACGAAGATGTAAATTGGTGTTTTTTCTGTTTCGCCAAATTCACCAAATTAAAGTGGGCGCCAAATTAACCAAATCTACAGTATCTGTATAGCACCTTCTGTTTGAGTACTTAATGAGATACTTTGACTAAATATCCTGCAATATCTCAGAGGTTCTCGATTTAAAAAAGGCAAAACCTAATGATCCATCCCTAATGATAAACCCAATAGTATAATGTTATTTTAAAATTGCCAAGTTCTACACAAATATTGATTAATCACTGATATTCAAGATAAAATATGGTAACATTAATTTTCGATTTTTACTAACACAGAAGTCAAAGTCACCGAATAAATAATAATGACCACCTTGTGGAGTATTATAGGAATTCTATTATATGTACTCATTGTACTTGTAAATTCCAAAGCAGTTTTGTTGGATGAGGAAGAATGTGGTACACTGACACACAGTAGAGGAGTCCGATATTTACTGGCAGATAACCCCGGCAGGATATTAGCAGCTAGGGTAAGTTGTAATTAATTGTGAACTACATTTAGCATATTAATAGTATAATACACATGAACTGCTTTTGTAACTTAAAAACAATCAATGTAAACTCATAATATAAACAAGTTATATTGTCTTAATGACCTCATAAAGAGAGTATTGTCAATGTCATATATTATATCAATTTATTTCATGATGAGAAATATTCCTAGTGTTTGAGATATGATACTGAATATATTAAATCTTGATCTAAGTCATGAATTGCATTGGTTATTTCTATATACAGTGTATGACTGTATTTGTAGCTTATTTTAAAATAACAATTGCTTTATTTATGAACTCACTGAATGGCAAAGCATGTCATTGAATTTATTTGAGCAAGATGTTCTAATATTAACATAACCATGCACTTTTTAATCTTCTAAATGATTGTAGAATATGATATACATGTATATAAGTTGATGGTGAACAAAATCAAGAAAAATCATAGCTGATAATATTTTGAAAATTAGAAAGGCTGTCAAAAATGAATCTTTAAAGATATACTTCACAAATATCGAGAACCTTTTACAAGAACTGTTCCCATTTTATTTAGTTCACAAAAATGAGATGCTTAATGTTATGTAAGGGGAGTAACCTGGTTCCATGCTTGAAAATATAATTTTCTTCCAGGTACGAAAGCAAGTAGCAAGTTTGTATGGCAAAAGACTGAGAACCTACAACCTGCGCTCATACAGGAGACAAGAGTCGCCACCAGATGAACGTGATCTCATTAATTATTATATGAAGGTAAAATAAGGACAACCAGATATTTATTTTGTGTGTATGATAAATCAATTGTGTTTTGTTTCCCAGAGGACATTTTTATTATTTCCTATTTTGCTTTCATAGTAAATGAAAGGCAATATAAGGCCACACAAGAAAATACAATTGTGATGTTTTGTCCAGAGGCAATGCCTCTTCCTGTTGCCACCTATTTCCACAATACAGATTAAGGTACCACTCTTGAAATAGTACTTATATAAACTACACATTGTAAAAATGTATATACATATTCAAAAGATAAACTATACAATGACATAAAATTCAATTCAACTTTCAGATCAAGGTAAAGCACCGTGAATATGTCCACATCAAAGTGTCCAGGTACATACCAGCACCAAGTAAGCCTAGGAGTCCATTTCTACGCTGGGCAGTGAAAGGATTCAGGAGACAAGATTGTATATGTGGAGATACCCCAACCTGTACAATACCAAAAGCAGCAACTAAAGCTACAGGATAACTGACCATTGATGAATGACTATATGAAATTATCTTTACATACCAATTAGTTTTCAACATTTTACATTACTTTATCTTACAACGTGTGTGAACTTGTTCAAGTAGTTCAGCAGCGTCACTAAATTATATGAAGTTACAACTAGGGTTTAAGTTTGGAAGAAAATGCACCAAAAACTGCAAAAAATACTACCACTATAATGATATTATTTGAATGTGACATTTCAGGTACTACTACTCAAATCCATGACTGAATAATGCTGTACTCTCAAAAACTACCATAAAACACCAATAGTAACATATAATATGGTACTATCCTCCAATAGCATCATATAGTGCCATACCAATCTGAACTGTACAGTCCTATCAATACGCAAAAATATCTGGATATAGCACTGTAAAACTAATCTAAATTGTGTGTTTTAGAGAGCAGATTGGGGAAGTAGCACATTTATATATTGATGTACTAAAAAGTTGGCTCAATAAAGCTCAGGCAATCTGAAATTATTGCAAACTGTAAGCAAAACTTGATTTCACATTTTTATAAATCTGAAAAATTGCAACTTCCAAAGTTGGCAATCACACAATCAACCAAAACCTATACAAGGCTTCTTTTGTGCAAATAGTGTAGCATGAAAAAATAAATGATGCAGAAAACAGTATTAGAAGTTCAAAGACTGACAGCTGTACTTCCATGCTGTTCACCAAGGTGTTTTTAAATTATGTTTGAATGAATAGATGGTGTATATGGTAGACACATAAAATAAAAATTAATGAACCAAATGGTATGAATATTGAATATCTTTGCAACTTTTTGATTGATACTCAAAAAAGTTGGCACAAAAATTTGAGACATAAGTTATTGTTGATAACTTATTATAAGTTTTTAATATTTTTGGTATCTAATAAAAGATCAATCCACTGAAAATGCCAGGGTATTGAAAAGTAAGTGGGTGTGAGGGTCAGTTTGTTCTGTAGTTCCATTTTGTCCCTTTATGTCATGTCTTTTGTGTCTGATGAAAGATCAGGTACTTACCAATCCACTATACTGGAAATACTAGGACATTGAAAAGTAAGGTGATATGAGAGTCAGTTTTCTATGTAGCTCAAGTGGTAGGGGACTCAATATGTAATCGGGAGGTAGTGAGTTTGATTCCCAACAAGGAGGAATGACTTTTCACATCAGCCCTTACATACAGGGTGAGCCAAATAAGGAACCCCAAAAAATCTTAGTAACTCAGTCATCCAGTCACGATTTGATCCTATGTTTCAAATTAACCATAAGTACCTTATTTTATGACACTTTGAATAGGTAACAATAGAGGCACTGTAGATAAATGCATCTATACTATCTTCTGCATTTTTAATGACATTAAACATTTACTAATGGAAGAACTAATAGTCAGTCCATTAAACTGAATAGATCCGACTGAATCACTATGTGCCATATACTCTATAGGAACAAAGACAAAAAGCGTAAGTATTCATCATATTGTTGAGCAATCTGCAATAACACAATATGCTTTTTGGTAACCAAGCAGCAGCTTCAAGAAGTTGTGTAACAAAGACAGAGAGGTGTTTTCAAAATACCCCCTGTTCCAAAGTTTACATAACTTTGACATTCATTTCGAAACCTTAGGATAGACTGAGGAAACAAATCATCAGAGGGCAACAGTGGATTTGAGACAGATATAAAAATGGATCAAAATTACAGTATGATGTTAAACACTTCAATCAACTCAACTGTCCTAGCAGCGGGGTCCATAAAACAAGCTCTAAAGTTCATATTATTTCTATGGATATGTGTGGGAAATGCATTGGTTATCAGTGCATATATAAAATTTAGAGGTTTAAAAACCACAGCAAATTATTGGATTTTACATTTGTCAATTGCGGATTTCTCAATTGGCATATCCTTATTTCTGCAATTTTTATTTGGATTTTTAGTTGGATATATAACAGGCTGGACAATGTATATTTATTGTGGAATCTTAACCTTTACTGTAAATTTGTCAATATTTATGACATTGACGCTTTTGTTAATGATTACCGTTGACCGATACATTGCCATACTTTGGCCATTGAGATATTCAGCTCTGTTAACAACAGAAAGGGCTCAGATCATAGTGAGTCTTCAGTGGGCTTTTTATGGAACATTTATTCTTGGTATTGCAATTGACTGGCGCATGGGAAATCTTGATGGGTCGGTTTGCCTTGAAATCCCACCAAATATAGTCTATATGATTGCTCCTGGATTTACGACATTGGCACTGGTGATGATTACTCTTTACATTCACATTTTTAAGGTCGTCTACAAACAATCAAGACAAATCTCAACATCTCTGGATTCCAACCATAGCAAATTTGGGAATTCCTTCAAAAGAAGCCTCATCATCATAAAGACTGCATTGCTTGTTATCGGAGGATTTCTTTTTTGTTGGCTGCCATGTGCGACTTATGTTGGAATATCTATTTATGATAAAAAGATGGTCACTGGGGGACTTGATATTACTGAGTTTTTGGGACTCTTGGCCTATGCAAACTCAGGAATCAATCCAATCATATATGCCTGGAGACTGAAGGAGTTTCGTATTGCATTTTGTAAGCTACTGCATATCAAAACAGAAGCAGTTGGCTTTGAAGGGGAATATTCATTAAGGACGAGACCAGAAAATAGAAACCTTAGACATTCCAATGCTAGTCAAACACATGACACTGGACACATGTGATGATAGACACATGATTGAACATATTATATGATATGTGACAAAGAAGTGAACATATGATATGACAACAATCATTAGACATGAGAGTCTAACTAGTACAGAAATAAGAATTAATGCTACTTGTTGTCATTTGTAATTACTGCAATGAACTACAATGGCGCTGTTTTAAAGGTGTGTGTATATTAATAATAAAACAATATATTCTTGAGACAATCTTACTCTTTTAACACTTCTCATTAAGAATAAAGTTTTTAAAAAGATAGGCTCCTTCTAAATTCAATTAAAATAGTTATTATTCCATCAGCTAATCCTTGGCATTTATTGATCACAAATACAAAGAACAGGACAAATCAATGATGATATAATTAGCCTGATTAAAGACAGAAGCATAGAATGGAAAAATTGTTCAATGGAAAGACTTAATTCACACAAAGTACACATTAATAGAACTCAATGGCTTTACAGCCTTCTACATCGAAAATATTATTTTCATTGAAAACATACTTCTATTTTCAAAATAACTTGAACAATATATGATACATATCTATTTAACTTCATGGTTTTAACAATTGGTAAAAGTTGAGCGCAAATCAAAATATAATACAAGCTATTAACATGATGTAACATGAACTTGATGTGAAAATATCAGATAAAGAGGAATGTGGTACGAACCTTATCTGGTTGAGTATGTAGAAGATGGGCATCTTCAGGATGTGGGGCAGTAAATGGGTGATGAGCAGATTCTATCCCCGCTTCTGCAAAAATATTATTTTGTTTGTCTGTTTACAGGCTCAATAACATGAACAGTTTAATAGTCATATTTAAAACTACATGTTTTTGCTGTATATGGCTCTTTGATGGACTCATCAAGCCTTTTTCAAATCATTTCTTAACTTCTAAACCTCAAGTAACCCAGTCAGATTATTAGAACTACATTGTTACACTTTTATTGAGTCGTCAATTTCATTCTTCAAAGAATACATGTATGTCTTAAATTCTTTCAACACATGAATATGACATACCTCCATCCTCTCTTGGAAGAAACAAAGGAAAGTCTTCAACCCATAGAAAATTGTATGCTTTTTTCTGTCTCACTTCAACACCCTGTTCTTCATATATATTGGCGCATTCTGTCCTCAACCGTCCAAGCACTGTATGCTATATTGACACAAAAAGACCTTGGGTATCATGGTTGTTACATTAAAACATAGTAATGATGATTTGAACATGATATAAAGTTGTCAACCAATCAGATTTGTTCACTTCAGGATATTATGTAAGCATTGAGACCACAGAACGCTGATTCACAATGCATGGCTTTGTAATATGATTTAGGCTATTTAATATTAACAAACTGTTCATGTCAAAGTAATCAAAAGTCAATGATAATGATTTATTCATTAATAAAAATAATAAAAAAACATTAAATATAGAAAATAGCATAATGCCCAGGAGCCCCTGCAGAATCCACAACAGGCGAGACAATATAAATAAAGAGACTGAGGAAAACTCTAGTTTCTGAAAACATTGTTGAGATAGACTTACAACATCAGTCCACTTGCCAGTTGCAACCAGCAGGAGGTCCATAGATACACCTTCGACTTTATGTATTAGCTTATGAGCAGTATCTTGAGAAAGTTTCTTAGACAAGTCCCCTTGTAGATTATCACCATCTTGTACCTTTGTGAAGTAAACTTTCTGAAATACATTTGAAACATCATTAAATATTTCTGAAAATATGTATTAACATTGGGGTCTCCCATGCATTCCTTGAGATTTTCACTTATAGTTACAAATCAAATATTCTGTATCACATTCTATATCTAAATGCATACATTCTGTTAAGTATGATATCTGTCATTTTCTTATATAACTAGACCTAAGCTGTTTGGACACCCATTTAGAAGTAGGTCAATATGACAACTTTCATTTTATAATTTTAACTAATCTTAAACCAAATTGCATTAAATAGGTCTAATCTTTTCAAAAATTGTGTACATAAGGCATTAGCAGAATAAAATATATATGAGCATAGCTTCCCTCTATGAGAGATTTTTAAATATGAAATTTTTTGTTTCTACACTATACTTTTTGGGCTTGTAAAAACATGCAACTCAGTTTTATAGTATGTCAACATTTTACTCTAGTTTTCAAGTACAGGGTGGTCAAAAAAATGGAAACCCTTACACAATTTTCCTCATATCTTTGTCATTTTTAGAAATAACTCCCTGATATTTTACACATTTGTACATCATTCAATTTCCTACCAGTCCACAGTTTATATCATGACCATCAGATTGATAGTCACAACGTTACAGCACTTTAAAAACATTCCCTAGTTGCCACTTTTGCGCTGTCGGGAAACCTGTACTTGTTGTCCAAAATGTCCCTACCTGTGGGGATATAGCAGAGGTACAGTGTATGAGAATGACCTCAGGACAATTGCAAACCTCAAAAGTGAGATCATCCGTGTCATTGGGGCCATACCTGCTGAGGAATACATTCGGGTCATTGACAACTGTACTGTTTTGCCTACAGTGCGATGATGGCCAAACCTGAAGCATGTTATTCAAAGTGCCGTAAAATAGTCACTATAAGTCTGATGGTCATGAAATATGGTGGGGTGACCACCCTGTATGTAAAACATATATATACATGTATATAACATCATATGCATACAGAGCATACATACTTACCACAGAGGCGTCTAACTGCTTCCCAAATTGCTTTAGTTTGTTGATTGTCTTGCCACTAATATTATTCTAAAAATACAGGAAATATAAACATCTAGATATCTCACTTAAGGAGTGACCAGTCACTATTTTACAACAATATGGTGGAATTTCAAAGATTTTGACAACTTCAAATAATAATGAAAAAAATCCTTCATTCTGGCTGTACGAACAATGATGTTTTCATTTTCGCTCACTTTTAATTCCATTTTGATATAAACCTGTATTAATTTGGATATATATATGAAAGAAATGATGTCATATTATCATTGCTGGGGCACCAGTTTTGCATGTGAATCTCTAAACAAAGCAATTCATATTGTAATTAATCTCTCAAATTGTGGAATGTATAGATTATACACAATGTTAATGTTACCCAGTCATCCACTGTTTGATTTAAACAAACTAATGGTTTAAATATTTGTTTTACATTGCCTTTAAACTGAAAAAGCCGAAGCCTACCCCAAGTCCAGTGTGGTAATATGTGACATTTACATGTAAAATACAAACTGCACATCTCATTTTTAATTCAAATTTCAGTACTACTTATTTATATCTTTAAAAAATGAATATAAAATTTTAAGAAAAATCCTTGAAGTGAATTTTTGATAAAATTTGGAAGTTTAAGAAGAAAATCAAGATTTTTGCATTGTCAATCAAAATATATTTCTTGTTCTTAGAAGAGAAGTGTCTACTTTGGCAAACAAATATGCCTGGAATTGGGCATGGTATATTCAAGTCATAGCCTTACCGAATTGAACTGCCATATTATCAATTCATTTTCAAATACAGGTCCTGTTCCTAAGACATTGTCCCATGATGTCTTGGGACAACAGCGGACAAGTTGGGACAAAATGGACAGAGGGACAAAGCCGGACTTGTCCCATTGGCGTAAAGCTAGCTTAGACATGCTTAACTGTAGCTTGTTTTACACTTATGTTAACTTTAACAAAATAAAGCACTGAGCTTTACCTGATTTTGAAAATAAAAAATATCAGGAAGTTAATTCTTTTATTTAAAATATGTTGTATGCTGGTTTCATTCAACTAACCTTGTAATGAAAGGCTCAGTTGAGTACTCTCAATTTAGGAATAATATTCTTTCTAATAAATCCTGACCACTTTTGGTTAATCAAGGAAATTTCAATGAAAGGAGTTTTTGAAAATAATATACTAACAAATTAATCCTGTACTCTGAATGACACTATAACCAATGTGTGAACATACTGGATTTGTGTTTTACATGTTTGAAGATGTGTGGTTATGTAAACTATTAAAAGGAATTTAGAACATTTGACCATGAGTCATTATTTTTTGTATCTGAGTAATTGGTTTAAAATAAACAAACATCAATTAGAGAAAGATATTCATTTTTATTTGAAAGCAGAGAGCAAACAGTGTTTTTACACTAAGCGTAGTCTGATTAAAAGAATATATTTTGTTTCATTGGTGTAATATTTACAGGTTATGAAATGTGATAAACAAATATCATTTGTGATCTGCCACTTATAGAATTCCTGCAACACATGTACTAAAACTTAAAAAAAAGCATATCAACTTCATAAGTGTATAGAAAATATGATAGTATCACATTAATAATAGTAAATAGAAGTAGGAAAACACTTAAAATCATTAAGATACAGCAATATAAGCTCTATTGTAATCTTGCATTAGCAGTTCTGTATACAACATGCATACACATCTGTAGATATAGGAAAAACTAGATGGTCACTTTACATTGATGCAGGGGTACTTAATATACATAGTACTAAGTTTGCAAAATATACAAAACACACATAGTTTTAAATATGAACTCTACAAGTAAAGCAAATTAATGTTTATTGGTGAATAGTAATTATTTTTCAAAAATAACTTTCAATACTTATAAATGGAACTGGGAACAAGTTTCTGGGAACTAGTAATATTTCTGCAAAGTATTACCCAATATCCCCTAAATCAGTCCTATGGTGATGACATCGGCTGTCAAAAGGATGACTTAATGATTTCCCCAATAAGAGGATAATCAAAGAGGTCGTATTTTCACCTTTACCTCTTTAAATGAATATGACCCCTGATCTGGGGCTAGCGTAGCTGGCCATTCATACCACGATATGCAATAGCCTGGACTACTACATGATTTTGTTTTACTATATTTTCCTGTGATGCTACCTTGATAGCCTTCGCAAGTATAGTATGCTGATGAATACCACCAAGGTCCATATTTATTATAATATCTATAACATTTGCTTGATTGATCATAAACATCACTGGTAGAGAATATGTGATGGTTTGAATAACTCATTGAGTCACCTGCAGTACTACTCTCTGTGTATCCACCTATTTCCAATCTATACCTGTCAGTCTCATCGCTTATATCAAATTCCTCATATTCAGCATATCTTGTTTCATTTGCCCAGGTTGTCAACTCAAATCTAACTTTATATCTTTTTTGTTTCAGCTTAAACACAAGGTTGTCCATCCCTATAAAGTGCTCTCCTAAAACATTTCCAAATCCATTCTTGTAAGAAAACCAAGTACGTCCAAAGCTAACACTTCCATCAAATCTATGCATTAATATAAGCCAACCATCTTGGCACATAGCAAAGAATGGGCGGTTATCTTTTCTTCGCATTATTACAAGGGAATCAAGCTCTGCACAATCAGTTGCAACAGGAACTCCTCCAGAAATATCTTAAAAAGAAAAAGTCATTGACATATGTCTTGTAAAACATCAATAATTCTAGTGTATTTCATGAACATCAATATATTACAACAAGTTTTAACAGGCCCTTAACATGCAAAATATCATAACCCGCCACTTGTTACAGGTGCCAAACTTCAAATACTGATGGGAAAAGGTAGTTAAAACACTTCACAAAAAAGTTGGACACTATGACAACTATGACGCTACTTGTGGTGGTCACATAACTAGGAACTCAACAAAGTAAAGGAGCAAATCCAAATGAATAAATTATACATCAATCTAAAATATAATATTTCAGTTTAATACAGTCATACTTTTGACATGATTATTGAAAACTCTCGCATAAGGGGACTGTTTTGGATTTTCAGAGACACAAATAAGAATAATGATTTTGTACCTATGATCTACTCTAAAGTTAATAATCTTTGATTTGATATAGCCATACTATGAGAGATCTCAAATTATTCCCCCAATTTACCCCCATCCACGGCCTCTGGACCCCAGCCCAAAAACACAGCACAGAATATATGTGAAATATATATTATTTGACTAAAGTGCCAATATTTCAAACATTAATACCGATTACTTATTAATGAAATAAATCAAGATAAATCTTGTGAGATCTAAAAATTGTTTCCTCGACCAACCATTCATGACCCCTGGAGGTCGGGGTAAAAAGAAATATAAGAGATATAAGAGAATATAAAGAGATATACTTTATGGAAATACTGCTAAAATAGTCAAAATATTCTTATTACTTCGGTTCGAAAATGGAAAAAACCTTCAGATTTTTGTGAAAAATTCCCACTATTTTCAAAGTGACTATTCACCAATGTATCTCTTTTAACTAAATATGAAGAAAATACAGACAAAAAAGGACAAACTGACGAATAATGGGCTTCACTATACAAACTTCTTTACAAACTTTTTCATTGGGCTAAAAAAGTATTCTTACCAATATTCTTGCCATCTTCCGTTTTAGAAGCTGTTTTGTTGCCAGTCATATCTTCCGCAACTGTTGTTTCATCTAAATACATAAAATTGTGATGATACAGCATTTTTTGACACACATGCAATTTTAAAATTCATCCTTGTAGTAAAAGCATCAAGGAATTTAAGTGTATCTGAAGAACATTATTATATCATTTCCAGTTGTATGATAAGAAATCTTATTACCATCATTCTTTCCATCTTCATTTTTAGATACTGGTTTGTCTTTAGTCTTATCATCAACCACATCTGTTTTATCTAAATATATTGCAACAGTAGAGAAGATTCAAGTTTGCATGTAAGTAAAAATTTTTAACAAAATAACATGATAAAATTTCACCACAATTACAAACATGTAACAATTTGTTATAGCCACCTATTAATTACACTAAATGCGGGTATCAAAAACAATATGTCACCTCATCTTCATGAGCATTTAATTTCAACTAAATCAATCATATCTTCTTAAACAAACAGCTAAAAGTATCTTAAAGAAACGCTGCATAGAGTTGATATGTGAACAATATACCTAATACTAATATGATGATTTAATAAAATTTAAAGTTGTAAAAGATAGTTTTACCACCCGCTATGGCTCAGTGGCAGAGCCAAGGTTACCAATATCGCTTGGTCCCGGGTTCGATTCCCGGTTCAGACAAGTTTGTGCATGATGTAATTCTGGGTGTTTGACTGAGTGGTTCACAACTCGTATAAAAGGCTGTGGTGTGTACCTGTATGTCTGTGTACCTGTGCACACAAAAGAACACAGGGCTCCTCCAAGGAGGGGTTTCTGGCTCTATCTTCGAGTGTAAAATACATAAAATACGGAATATACCAATGAGGTATTGCTCACCAAATATGGCGGTAACCAAGATATAACTAGACTTTGGAAATTGAACAAGTTCAATTTTAGACTCCAGATTCAAACTTTTTTAAGCCGAGTCATCCAGAATAAGCCGAGTCATCCAGAAAAAGATGGATGGATGGATGGATGAAATAGGAAGGAGGGATAAGATAGAATAGGAAGGAACGATAGGATAGAATAGAAAAGAACGATAGGATAGAATAGAAAGGAAGGATAGGATAGGAAGGAAAGGATAGGATAGGAAGGATAGGATAAGATGGGATAAGATGGGAAGGATAGGATAGAATAAGAAGGAACGATAGGATAGAATAGGAAAGAAGAATAGGATAGAATAAGAAGGAAGGATAGGATAGAAAGGAAAAGATATGAAGGAAGGATAGATAGGAAGGATGGATGGAAGGATGGATGGATTTTTCAACATTTTCTTCGTTACTCTTGACTTTCTATCAGGATACCATCAGATCGATTTTTCTCGAAATTTCAAAACGCCATACCTTTCGAACCGGAAGTCGGATCGAAATTAAGTTTGCAGATTCGGACTCCTGAGAAAATTCTACCCTTAATTCATAACTCATATGTTAAATTTGGAGAACTTTTTATTTTGACCTACTTTCTGGACGCCATATTTCAAAATCGGTGAGGAATCAAAAAACGGATGGCACAATTATGAAAAGGCAGTTTCTAAGCTATATGATGAAAAAAGATGAAGATGTTTCGATAAATAACGACGAAGATAATAGACAGAAGGTTGAAAATGTAAGATTTGACCTAGTTCTTGACCTTTGACCTAGTTAAAAATTTGACCCAATTTCCCACCAACTAGATACTGAACCTAAATAAATTGTATAATGGACTTTACTGGATACCTTATAGTTATTGAAAAAACTCTTAAAGAAAAATAATAAGAAGAAGAATACTGGCAAAAACAATAGACTCCAGATTTTCAATCTGGAGTCTAATAATAACTAGATGTTTAAGATTGCAAGCAATCTTACGGAGGCCCCGTAGGCTTTTTTGAGCATTTAAAGGTCAGCCAAAGGTCAAATCTTAGATACAAGGTCATATATGAACTCCAGGCATCTTGTAGATGATTTAAAAAAAACGTTTGGTCAATTTGAAGCAATGTGAAATTTGACCTTGAAAAATTTCAACATTAGACCTTTTTCAGTTTTTGAGGTCCAATATCTCAAAACTGGTGCAGAATTTTAATAGATAATCAATTGTTAATATGTGTAAAACCTTTAGAGGAATATATATCCTGACTTTAATTCAAAAATATTGATTTGTAGTCACAAACTTTGGGAAACTTAGAAAACACAGTTTGTGATCTTGTTTGATGACCTTGACATTTGACCTTGAAAATTTTACTTTTTTAGACCTCAGTACATCTTTTTTGATTGAATAAACTTAAATTTGAATCCAGAAAATCAATTTGAAAAATCAACTTTTTTGACCTTTCGAAGGTCACTGAAGGTCAACTAAAGGTTATAAGTCAAAACTAAGGTCAGATTTGAGTTCCTGAGATCTTGTAGATGCTTTTTAAAAAAAGTTTGGTCAATTTAGAGCAAGTTGAAATTTGACCTTGAAAACTTTCGAAATTTGATCTTTTTTCAGTTTTTGAGTTCTAATATCTCAAAACTGGAGCAAAATTTTAATAAATAGTCAATTGCTAATATGTGTAGAACCTTTAGAGGAATATATATTCTGACTTTCAGTAAAAAAAATTGATTTGTAGTCTCCCATTTTGAGAAACTTAGAAAACACAGTTTGTGATTGACCTTTGACCTTGCAAATTTTACTTTTTTAGACCCCAAAAGTTCTTTTGTGAATAAATATACCTAAATTTGAATCGTGAAAATGGATTTGAAAAATCAACTTTTTTGACCTTTCGGAGGTCACTGAAGGTCAACCAAAGGTCAAAGGTCAAAAGTAAGGTCAGATTTGGAATCTTGAGAACTTGTAGATGAGTTTAAAAAAAATTGGTCAATTTGAAGCAAGTTAAAAAAAGACCTTTTTTGACCTTTTTTTGACCTTCAATATCTCAAAATCTAGGCAAAATTTCTCTAGACGGCAAAAGGCTAAGACTAATAGAATACTAATATCTATCCGTATGCAAAAATTCAGCCAAAAATATTGAAGTGTAGTGTCAGGATTTGAGAAACTTGAAAAAAACTTAGATTTGACCTACATTTAGACCTTTGACCTTGACCTAGATAAAAATTCCTTTCCCGCCAAGTTCAGCCAAGGTCCCTAGTAGGTGCATATAGTAGATAGTTGAAAGGTAGTTGGAAGTAGGAGAAAAAGGTTGGGGCCTCCTAATAATAAACCAGAACAACGGCAACGCCAAAGCGTAGCAAATCCCATCGAACAGAAATGGCTGGCGTTTTTAAAAACGAAGCGCAAATATCATAAAACAACACACCAGAAAGGCCACCATTTTCAAAATGGTTGTTCACTAGCCAAGTTGTCATCAGAAGAAATAATATGCTTTTAAGTAGCCACCTCTAAAATTTTTGAAAAATCACACACATACTTGTAAACACACATAAAACACACATAAAAATGGTGGCCATTTTTCAAAATGGCCGACTACTCCCAAAGTTTTATTAGACAATGTGCCATGCTTAAAGTATTCACATATCAAATATGAACAAAATCGCTCCACTATTTTCCGAGTTATAGTAAAATACGTTAAAATGGCGGCCATTTTTCAAAATTGTTTTCAAAATGGCTGCCTTCTACCAAAAGTGT